AAAGGGGATGGTAAAATTTATGAGGGAAAATTTTAATATTTTTTCCTAACTGTTTATTGCTACCTTATGGCATACTTACCAAGCTCAGAATTGTATAATTTAAGACCTTTCATACCACAAATCTATTGATATTTAGATTCTAAATCAACTTCTGAAGGGATTAAGTGTTTAAGAATGAAAATACATGTCAATTTTATTGTTTACAGTCCTTAGCAACCAAAATTAAACATTTTGACACAAGGCTTATAATTGTACTCTATTTGCTTAACCCTTGCTTCTGAAGGATTGCGCAGTATGTAATTGCCTAAGTATTGATTGTTTTGTATTTTTTCTTGCGAATATATCAAATTATTATTTTTATCAAAATTTCATGTTACATTTTGACATATATTAAATGTATAGTTGATTCAGCTGTAAGAAATTGATTCCCCATTACCAAGTTTTTTAATCAAGTCTTTGGTATACATTAAACATAAAGATTAACATTTTTATGCTTGAAATTGTTAAATTTTGTACAATTTTGCATCATCAGAGGTCTTATAAAGATTTTCAACTTTCAAAAACTGACAAAAGAGGTATAGTTTCTAAGATTTTGCCGAAAATTGAGGTAGAAACAAGATTTTACACTTTGGCTTGGCACCTTTCTTTAAATCAGTTTTTGTCGCGTTTCAGTGTCAACTGCTAACCTTCATAAAATATTCATTACTCAACCAATTTTCCAAAATAAAAGGCCATTTTACTCGTTTTAGCTAACAGAACACAGAAAATTAGTTAAAAGGCAGAATTTGAAAAAAATATTTACTATTAAGGTAGCAATACACAGTTAGGAGTTTGGTTTCGCATTTTGGCCTCGGTGGATTTTTCAAATATGAAAGTTATTGTGTAATAAAATTCATTTTTAGACAGCTGAGTACTAATTTAGTCTTCAAAGGTGGTTTATAAGAACATCAAGATTATTTTTTACATGTTTTATGGGCTATTTTCTGTTTGACTCTCCGTATTTTCATAGCTAGACCGGTCATCGGTCCAGAAATTAATGTAATGTTTACAAACACTTTTTTTCTACACGAAGTTTTTGACGCAATTTTACAAAAAAATGAGATGAAAGACATATGATTTTCATTGGATTTATTGAAAGATATATGTAAACAGTTTCAGAAAAGGTATTACTTGAAGTGATTGAAATTCTACTTTTGGTCAAATTTTGGGGAAATATGTGACATCTTTTCCCCCCTTTTTGCTATATTTTATAACAAAAAAATGCAGACTGTTGCCATGGATACACCAAAAAGAAATTATATTTTACCATTTAATATACTGGATATGAAATCTATGGAAGATTCTGATTACATACATATGCACATGTATGACACAAACAGTAAGCTTTATATTGCAAGAAGGCAATGAAAAGGGGATGGTAAAATTTATGAGGGAAAATTTTAATATTTTTTCCTAACTGTTTATTGCTACCTTATGGCATACTTACCAAGCTCAGAATTGTATAATTTAAGACCTTTCATAACACAAATCTATTGATATTTAGATTCTAAATCAACTTCTGAAGGGATTAAGTGTTTAAGAATGAAAATACATGTCAATTTTATTGTTTACAGTCCTTAGCAACCAAAATTAAACATTTTGACACAAGGCTTATAATTGTACTCTATTTGCTTAACCCTTGCTTCTGAAGGATTGCGCAGTATGTAGTAGCCTAAGTATTGATTGTTTTGTATTTTTTCTTGCGAATATATCAAATTATTATTTTTATCAAAATTTCATGTTACATTTTGACATATATTAAATGTATAGTTGATTCAGCTGTAAGAAATTGATTCCCCATTACCAAGTTTTTTAATCAAGTCTTTGGTATACATTAAACATAAAGATTAACATTTTTATGCTTGAAATTGTTAAATTTTGTACAATTTTGCATCATCAGAGGTCTTATAAAGATTTTCAACTTTCAAAAACTGACAAAAGAGGTATAGTTTCTAAGATTTTGCCGAAAATTGAGGTAGAAACAAGATTTTACACTTTGGCTTGGCACCTTTCTTTAAATCAGTTTTTGTCGCGTTTCAGTGTCAACTGCTAACCTTCATAAAATATTCATTACTCAACCAATTTTCCAAAATAAAAGGCCATTTTACTCGTTTTAGCTAACAGAACACAGAAAATTAGTTAAAAGGCAGAATTTGAAAAAAATATTTACTATTAAGGTAGCAATACACAGTTAGGAGTTTGGTTTCGCATTTTGGCCTCGGTGGATTTTTCAAATATGAAAGTTATTGTGTAATAAAATTCATTTTTAGACAGCTGAGTACTAATTTAGTCTTCAAAGGTGGTTTATAAGAACATCAAGATTATTTTTTACATGTTTTATGGGCTATTTTCTGTTTGACTCTCCGTATTTTCATAGCTAGACCGGTCATCGGTCCAGAAATTAATGTAATGTTTACAAACACTTTTTTTCTACACGAAGTTTTTGACGCAATTTTACAAAAAAATGAGATGAAAGACATATGATTTTCATTGGATTTATTGAAAGATATATGTAAACAGTTTCAGAAAAGGTATTACTTGAAGTGATTGAAATTCTACTTTTGGTCAAATTTTGGGGAATATGTGACATCTTTTTCCCCCTTTTTGCTATATTTTATAACAAAAAAATGCAGACTGTTGCCATGGATACACCAAAAAGAAATTATATTTTACCATTTAATATACTGGATATGAAATCTATGGAAGATTCTGATTACATACATATGCACATGTATGACACAAACAGTAAGCTTTATATTGCAAGAAGGCAATGAAAAGGGGATGGTAAAATTTATGAGGGAAAATTTTAATATTTTTTCCTAACTGTTTATTGCTACCTTATGGCATACTTACCAAGCTCAGAATTGTATAATTTAAGACCTTTCATACCACAAATCTATTGATATTTAGATTCTAAATCAACTTCTGAAGGGATTAAGTGTTTAAGAATGAAAATACATGTCAATTTTATTGTTTACAGTCCTTAGCAACCAAAATTAAACATTTTGACACAAGGCTTATAATTGTACTCTATTTGCTTAACCCTTGCTTCTGAAGGATTGCGCAGTATGTAGTAGCCTAAGTATTGATTGTTTTGTATTTTTTCTTGCGAATATATCAAATTATTATTTTTATCAAAATTTCATGTTACATTTTGACATATATTAAATGTATAGTTGATTCAGCTGTAAGAAATTGATTCCCCATTACCAAGTTTTTTAATCAAGTCTTTGGTATACATTAAACATAAAGATTAACATTTTTATGCTTGAAATTGTTAAATTTTGTACAATTTTGCATCATCAGAGGTCTTATAAAGATTTTCAACTTTTCAAAAACTGACAAAAGAGGTATAGTTTCTAAGATTTTGCCAAAAATTGAGGTAGAAACAAGATTTTACACTTTGGCTTGGCACCTTTCTTTAAATCAGTTTTTGTCGCGTTTCAGTGTCAACTGCTAACCTTCATAAAATATTCATTACTCAACCAATTTTCCAAAATAAAAGGCCATTTTACTCGTTTTAGCTAACAGAACACAGAAAATTAGTTAAAAGGCAGAATTTGAAAAAAATATTTACTATTAAGGTAGCAATACACAATTAGGAGTTTGGTTTCGCATTTTGGCCTCGGTGGATTTTTCAAATATGAAAGTTATTGTGTAATAAAATTCATTTTTAGACAGCTGAGTACTAATTTAGTCTTCAAAGGTGGTTTATAAGAACATCAAGATTATTTTTTACATGTTTTATGGGCTATTTTCTGTTTGACTCTACGTATTTTCATAGCTAGACCGGTCATCGGTCCAGAAATTAATGTAATGTTTACAAACACTTTTTTTCTACACGAAGTTTTTGACGCAATTTTACAAAAAAATGAGATGAAAGACATATGATTTTCATTAGATTTATTGAAAGATATATGTAAACAGTTTCAGAAAAGGTATTACTTGAAGTGATTGAAATTCTACTTTGGTCAAATTTTTGGGAAATATGTGACATCTTTTCCCCCCTTTTTGCTATATTTTATAACAAAAAAATGCAGACTGTTGCCATGGATACACCAAAAAGAAATTATATTTTACCATTTAATATACTGGATATGAAATCTATGGAAGATTCTGATTACATACATATGCACATGTATGACACAAACAGTAAGCTTTATATTGCAAAAAGGCAATGAAAAGGGGATGGTAAAATTTATGAGGGAAAATTTTAATATTTTTTCCTAACTGTTTATTGCTACCTAATCATAGATATTACCAATACAAGGTTGAATATTTGAAAAAATATCCGAGTTCATGAGGTAATAATCACATTCTGGCTGTACATAAGTCAAATTAGGTGTTTCCTATAGTATATTCGATGGAACACACAAACCGAATGACAACCTGGGCGACGTCTTAGTCGGTATGTTCTTTGTATTGTTGTCTATCATGCATTAAGCTATCAACTTTATGATGCCAGGGGGATCACCTAGTAGAAAAGTTTTTTTATAGCAAGAAACTTGACACCGACTTAGTAGCAGTAAAAAAGACATAAACAAAAATACCGAACTCCAAGGTGAACTCAAAAATGGCTGAAGTCTATATTATCTCAAAATCAAACTTTAAACTGTATAAAACAACGGAACGAACAACTTTCATGTTCATGACTTGGTAAATTTCTAAAAAGTCAACAACAGCTGCATCAAACATGTCCACACCAGAATAAAAAGCAAGAAAAACAATTATGGTACAATCATCATCAGGTCGATTTTTTTATGTGGACCGACTAAGGACGTTTTACGAGCACAAAACCCGAAAAGGTCACGTAATATGAAGTTTTATCCGTTTGCGAGGTACTCTTTGGAACATAAGTGTTGCTAACCAAACTTGTAGTAATTTAGTGTACATGCATCTGGGTTTTTTTTTAATTGGAAGATAATAAATTATTTAATACAGCAAGTAAAAGAATATTGCTAAATCACCACATTTAATGCAATATGTATCAAAACAAAGCAAACATCTGTAACATGTTGATGCGTTTGGTAAGTAATTCGACGATGGTTGAATTAGTTTTTTAAACAGACATATTTTCCTCCAGAATACTGAGGATCGCCATGAAATAACTCGCACGAAGATCTCGTTCTACACTGGTCAGTAGATCCGGTACTATCCAGGTACCTCAAATATTCGCACTCCTCGCATCGATCTGGGTTATTCTGAACACATCTCTTGCAGTTCTGAACATAGCATGCTGCGATAAAAAGAAATGAACAATCCTTGGTGCTTTCTTAAGAAGAGGATAGTAAAGGTAATACATACCATTAAACATCAGATTAATAACAACTTGTAATTGATTTGCTATAATGCATTACTTTGACATTTGATTAAGTTGCTGAATATTGTTTGTTTGTGTGTTTGTTTGAATAGGTAAAATAACGCGAAGTAGGCATCCAGAATGTGTGTTTTAATAACAAGGTGAGTTTTTTTTTCCTTTTCTATTGTTAATTGATGTATTTTCTATATGTTGAATATTGTAATAATGAAAGAAGGTATTTTTTGTTCGGTAATTTTTTTAGATTTTTTCAAAATGTTGCATCTAGTTGAAACATTCATGTTCAACACTTTTTTGTCGACCAAATTTGCAGACGTGTAGATTTTTTACTGCCATGTGTCTTTATTGTCCGTCGGATATCCATCTTAAAACCCTTTACACAGAAGTCGCAACCGTTAAGAGACCTCTGAGCAATAACCAAAATGGACAGATCTCTCAACGATCTTTCAATGAGCGTTCAGCAATCGCAATGGTTTTGATGAACATTTTGGATCGCTCAATGGCTGCCCAACGATCTCTGTGTTTGTAAAGGGAGCTTGATCAACATTCAATTAATATCTAAAAGTGTCATGTGAAATTTACGAAAATCACAATACTAACAAATGATTGTTTTACTTATTTTCTTTTTACCGTGAATATCCAAAATGAAATATTAACGCTTGTGGAAATTACTCAAACTATAGTCACGTCTGGGGAATGATAAAAAAAAAAACGAGCGTATATGCTAACAGATGGTTCTGGGGAAGTAAAAATTGTAGTTAAATGTCCATGGGGCGGACGGATGTGTCTGCTTAGCCACGACTACCAAGTATACTCATGTACAAGCACGCACTAAAAACGGAGTTTTGTCAGCTACAAAAAAAAAAGTACAATTCACTCTTATGACACACTACCAGGTCTAACTTTAGGAATTAAGCAGATTCTGAATGGGAGTTTAATGATATTGAAGTGAAATTCTAAACTGTAAGGACGTGTACATCTAATATCAGGGATTTACCACCATCGAAACCTTCAAATGTCTTAATTCGTTGAGATTTTTAATATTGATACCAAGTTATCTAACATGCTGCATGGATTTCATGAGAATAAAGCTTGTTGTGTTGAGACAATGCATCCCAAAAATCAGACAGTTTCAAGAAAGAGTAGAAATGAAATAAAATCTAAAGAAAACTTTCCTGTTCATACTAAACGAATAAACATTGCACAGTCTGTTAGAAATCAGGTATTTTCTAACTTCAAAAGAACGTTCAAAACCAATTTTTCAAATTTGGTCGATGAAGAAGTATTTAATATGAATGTTTCCGAAATATTCGAGAGCGAGTCACCTTCAATAAAAGTATATTTAACGAAAATGATATTTTGAGTAAACTAGTGAAAGGGTTCCAAACCAGTTAAGTGTAATATTGTCATTTGGGTGTTATTAATCTTTGTTTCTAAATAAAAAAATTAAAATTAAAATAAAGGTTTTACTTTCGCAGACTTGAATTCCATTCCGAGTAGTGGCAATTGCTGCGCCCCTTTCACAGTCAAAGGACGTAACACATCTGTTGTTGTCTTTGAGATAGTAAAAGGAGTCACACTGTTTACACGTGCGTGAATCTGTACACACATCGCATTGATCCACATGACAATCTGTAAAGATATTAAACTATAACTATATTGTTTGTTGTATAATACATGTTTTATTTGTGTAATTTCAAATGCACTGCATCTGAATGATAAATAGAAAAAAATATCAATAGACGAAAATTTATCAAAATCAAAATAAACATTTTTACTTTTTTTTAATAACCATTAATCATACAATGTACTTGGAATACGATATGTGCGCCAAATCTCCATCTTGTAGTTCCAACTTATGTAATTAAAGCATCTAATTTTTTATCCACTGACCTGAACAAAAGTTTACAGAGCTACAGAATTTTCCTTTACCACAATCTCTTGTACATATCGTAATTCTGAAACAATACAAAATGTTTTTAACTTTTATTTTGATAATAGATTCGACGAAAACGATTACAACAAGACTACAAGATGTAGAACATCAAAATTAGTAATATATAGCTCAAAGAGGCATACTATTGGAAAACCCATTGAAACTATTTTTCCCTTGTAAATTACATTATTTCGTTCACGCAGCTCCGTTATTTATAAGTTAAACATTTTTGTCTCAATTCAAGTCATTCCTTCTCATATCGTCGAAACATCGGAAACACTTTTTATTGCTCCCAAACATTCCCTGAGCTTTTGTTTTGTTTTAAAAAACGTAAAAGGGTTGGTGATATTTCAATGTTTTACCATCGTTTCAATTGATTTAATATTTTATGACAATTTAGTTTTGCACTTTTTATTACATCGATTCCTTCAAATATTGATATATTTCTTGAAATTGTTTGATATGGATATGGTTATAGCCAGGTTAATGATATTATAAGCTTGATATATTGGATGAGTTTTATTATTCAATTCGTGGAATGCAAAATCGCAATGCCTTGCTGTTCTGATATGATAACATTGACTGCCGCGGATACTTATGCTTTCTTCGTGATGTTTTCTTATTTAGGTAATGATAGCACTTTTGTTCCTTTTTTTTTCCTTTTATTTGCCCATGTCCCTGAATTTTCATCTATTTTATAATCGTCTTGGTGTTTGATACTGACTATTTTATTGCAATTTGATGTTTTTCGGTACTTTACTTTCTGATACCCCGAATTTTAAAATTCGAATTACGATTAATTTACACAAATATCTTTATATTTGCACTGAAATAGACAGATATCATTTGATTCACACTTGTATATTAAATAACTTTTTATTGAAAAAAGTAAAATCACAAAAATACTGAACTCCGAGGAAAATTCAATCGGTAAGTCCCTAATCACATGGCAAAATCAAATGACAAAACACATCAAACGAATGGACAACAACTGTCATATTCCTGACTTGGTACAGGCATTTTCAAATGTAGAAAATGGTGGATTGAACCTGGTTTTATGGCGCTAAACCTCTCACTTGTACGACAGTCTCATCAAATTCCGTTATATTTACAACGATGCGTGAACAAAACAGATATAATAAATAAAATAGTCAAAATATGGGTACAGCAGTCATCACTGTGTTACAATATCAAAACAAACAATCATTTACAAAAAGCACAAAAGCATCTATCAAATTAAAAACCACATTATGTTGTTTTTCACAGAGTAATTTGCAACTTTTTTCTCGATATTTCATTGCAATTAATAGTGCGTTCAGTTTGCATGTCTGGTGCTTATTTGTATGCAGCATATATTCGGTTACCCCTGTCTTCTGTTCTGGTAATCTTATTTGTTCGCAATTTTTATTACAATTATAGTTTTTAGATATTCAATCTATGCAAAATACCTTTGCTTGTTTTTTTCTTACAAACTAATAACTTATTTATCTTCAGGAAATAAAAATTATATTATCATCAAATCAATACAATCATTAGAGGTACAATAAATATGTGTCAACGATTTTTTCATATATGTGTTTGTATGTCAAAGTATTTACCTATATTCTCTGATGCTCAGTTTGAATTCCTTTTGACCGTTCGAAATCCCTTTTTATAAGCCCAAGCACACTTTCGATTGCGTGTCAGAAAATATGTCGCTAACGTTCAAGGTTAATCATGGGTATCACTGTCCATACGTACATGAATATTGCATATTTTGAAGTAATCACGATTTCAGCCGTCTTGATACTGATTTAGCAATATAAAGCAGGTAAATAGCAGTTACTAATGAAACGTAGGATTAAAAACAAGTATGAAAACAATAGATGTTATGCGTATGCCACAAGTTGGTGGAATTTCGTAACGCTAAATCGGCAACTGTCAAATTTCCCGGGAACGACGTAACGATCACAAAAAGATCTCAACGAATAGTTTAACGTTCACAACATTGTTAATAAATTCATAAAAGTCTACCTGTTAGTAGCTGAGTAGTAATTACAGAATCCCGGCTGGCAATTTGAACAACCCGAACTTGTACAAGTAGTATCTAAGCATCCCGATGGACATGCTGTATAAAAGATGAATACGTTCAAAAAAGATATTAGATAAACTCATCGTGGATATCAGGATTACATTTTGTACGCCAGACGCTCGTTTTGTCTACAAAAGACTCATCAGTGAAGTTCTAATCAAAATAGTAAAAAAGGCCAAATAAAGTTCGAAGTTGAAGAGCATTGAGGACTAAAATTTCCGAAAGGTTTTGTCAATTACAGCTGAGGATAATCTATTCCTGGGTAGAAATTTAACATAAAAATTTACTTTTTACCATGTAAATTTTATCATCACAAAATCTGTTTAGCCTTTGAAAAAGTATCGTTCCTTTGGTTTGTCTGTTTATTTAATTTGCAATATACATGCATGCCAACAACAAATCCAAGATTATAAAATAAGGAACACCATTTATAGAAAGAGATATACGTTCTCTCAGTGAACCGTGTTAGAATTATATACACAATGGGTACAAAATACGAAAAGTATGCATGTAAACCAATTCGTTTTGTGAGATCTTACAAATTCAAACAAATGTAAACCAATTAAAACAAGGTTGATAAATTCATTAAAGTACATTGAACGTGCTTTATTTTAAAATAAAATTTTGATTTGAAAGTTAAAACCAAGAAATAAGTTTGATAGAAAATTACTCTGTGAAAAGATATTTTATTCATTTATGAACAATTCACTAACCTCTCGCATTTGTATGTTTTCTTTTTATCTATGTGCTACGTACGTGCATCTTTTTCGACTGATCGAATCATTTAATTATTCTTTAAGATTCTACGAAGGTTATTTCATGCTTACCATAATCAATTAGGAATCCTGAAGACAAGCCACCCATAGTTAGAACAACGGTAAGAGCAGAGAGCCATGTCATATCTGTTGGGCTGGATATCATGACAGTAAACATGCATATCATAGATAAGTTGTTAGTTTCAATTTTGAGATGATATGAGACTGTCTTTGATTATATAAGATAAGATACAATTTACGTCAATTATGTTGCCGAGTGCTGGGTTGTCCGAAACACATATTTGGAAATATACGTTAAAAATCTTATGTTTGACTATGCATATGTATAAACTGTTGACAAGGCCATTAATTAAGCTGTTGATATAATAAACAAAGTACAATTATAAAACTACAAAACTGAATCTAAAGACGTCATAAGATCTAACCACATAGGACCTCCTTATTAAATGGTTAATGGAAAACATATATAGATAAGGCAGAGACTCATTACAAGAACCCATAATCAAGAACCCATAAAGGGCATCATTTACAACAATATTAAGCACAATATGATTGGAAAAAAGAAAAACTATATCCTAATATAATACTATCATATTGGACAGGATCAGAGCCTAACACATCATGTGTCTTACATAACATTAACAATAATTGCATAATAATTTTATATATTTTGTATCCACCTGGATCTTATTTCTAAACACTTAATTATATAATTGCCTAGGCACATAAGAGTTGGTAAATGCTCATTTGTGAACAGCCAGAAATATTTTTTATCCTTGGGTAATTCTTTAAAATTATTACAAAAACTGTTTACTTTATCCCATAATAATTTTCTCTGTTCGTTATATAAAGGACAACTTACTGTGAAATGGGTCTCATCTTCACATAATATGTCAGTCAACCACACTTCATCTGGCCCTGTTCCGGTGAATCATACATTCAATATGACGTGACAATGTTTGACGTGTACTTAATAACACCTTTCAAAAATTAAAGGAGAATATATTCTGACCTTTTGTGAAAAGTTTTTTATTCAGTAACCGAAAACATTGCTATCTTACCCATTGGTAATATAAAAGCAAAACCATTATTAATACTTCATGGAATTTGCAATGGGCACAGCGATAATAACAATCGATTCCTTTAGGTTCATCGAAGTTTTCGAATGCGATACACATGTACCGTGTCGGGCAAGCTATGGTCATCAGATCATCTGGGGCTTTCATAAAGTAGAAAAACAATTGACTCTCTATACAAAAAGCATGGACCACAACTATAGCATTGTCGACGAGAAAGAGCATGTTGATAACAAGACAACATAAACATGTTATAAACCCAAAGGAGATGAGCACGGACTAGCTTACTGGACTGGTGTGATCAAATCGTGTTTTTTTTCGGCCCAGACCTTCACATTTACCCTATGCTTTTAAACTCTTTGAAAACATTACATTAAGCTTACAAACTTACGTTAAATCATTTGCATATATGCGTGGTCCAAACACCAGATTCCTACACTATTCTCAAAACAAGACAACAATGAAACGCTGACCATGCCAAGAGCGACCTTTATTTAGCGCCAAGAATTTTATCAGACACTGATTTTTAGGGGGTCTCATTTGGGGGTCTGCTCCTGGATCCCGCTTAATGTTTTGTCGGAATCCCGTATCCCGCTTATCATTGTAATAAAAACGCTTGTAATTTCACGTATCCCGCCCGACTTCGTTTCCCGTTTTCACGCAAAATAATTTGACTTTCAAGTGTCACGCTTACATAAAATCGGCCAATCCCTGATCACGCTTACACCCCAATGAGACCCACTTTGTAGTTCTATCTGGTACTGTGGTTGGTTGAATGAATAAGTAATGCGGCTTATAAATGGCTGTATTTTGAGACTGTTGCTTGGCTTTATCATTTGTGTGTTTCGATCCTACTTATATTTAGTTGAGCTTGAATATTTCTAACTTCTAAGTGAATCTTTGATTGTAAAAGAAATACACCGAGTTACGGTGTCAAAGCTGAAGGATTTACAAGAATAAATATAGAGGCATCAATAGATGTTCCTTTACATAGGAGAATCATGGAATAGTTTTGATATTTGATTGGTACCTACTTTGTCTGCTATTGTATGTTTATATGACCTCTAAGGGTCAAACTTGATAAAAAAAAAATTCCGGTCAACAGATATCCTGTATAAAATCGTCATACACGTATGAGGTATGATTGCTTACTCGGCGGAATTGGCCGAGATGGTGCATGTTGTCCGTCAACATGTCCTTAATATTATATCATTTCAGTCGGCCGTGAAGAATCTGAAAAGATATACCTGAAGGAAATTTATAAATATTGGTATCTCAATCAGATGTCCAGGGAAAGAGCCTACATGCACAAAATCGCCATAGAAAACGCATAAAGCCACTTTACAAATATATTCCAGGTCAGCCACCATAGATAAACATATGACGTTGATTCCTGGTCAGCCACAATAGATAAACATAGGACGTTGCTTCTAAGTCAGCCACCATAGATAAACATAGGACATTGATTCTAAGTCAGCCGCCATAGATAAACATAGGACGTTGATTCCAGGTCGCCCTCCATAGATAAACATAGGACGTTGATTCTAAGTCAGCCACAATAGATAAACATAGGACGTTGATTCTAAGTCAGCCATCATAGATAAACATAGGACGTTGATTCTAAGTCAGCCACCATGGATAAACATAGGACGTTGATTCTAAGTCAGCCACCATGGATAAACATAGGACGTTGATTCTAAGTCACCCTCCATAGATAAACATAGGACGTTTATTCTAAGTCAGCCACAATAGATAAACATAGGACGTTGTTTCTAAGTCAGCCACCATAGATAAACATAGGACGTTGATTCCAGGTCACCCACCATAGATAAACATTGGACGTAGATTCTATGTCAGCCACCATGGATAAGCATAGGACGTTGATTCTAAGTAAGCCACCATGGATAAACATAGGATGTTGATTCTAAGTCAGCCACCATGGATAAACATAGGACGTTGATTCTAAGTCAGCCACCATGGATAAACATAGGACGTTGATCCTAAGTCAGCCACCATAGATATACATAGGACGTTGATTCAACGAACTAGATCATGTGGCTAAAGGAACTTATATTACAGTGAAAAGAGAATTATTCTATAAGTTTTCTACTACGTTCTTTTTTTTAACGAAAAAGCTGTTTAAATTGACGAAAATGACATTTAAACTGAACACTAAAATGAAAAAGAAACGTGCAAAATATGACGTAATTATTTTTTGTTTTAAATTATAGCAATTTTTGTTTTTATTTATACTTTCTTCCAAATATGTGTGAATCTGTGTCTTTGTATCAAGCAATCTGTCTTAACACATAGTTTGTCTCAAAATGTGTGTTGCACTTTACATAATGTTGAACTATGTCTAACAAGAAACAATTATAAAAATAGCTTAACAGCATTTAGTATATTATCATAAGCTTGTTTTTCAAAAGTAATGGACAATCTGTCAGGTAATAAAGAAATTTTGACGCCATGATGGTGTCATTACATTTTTAAAATCACTTAATGTGAGCATCAGTTTCCAGTAATTATCGATCTCTGCTATGTATGAAAGTACGTATATCAGCCACTGAAAACCATGAAAAAGATATCTGGCATCGCTATCACGTGGATTTCAGCCTCAATAGAAAGTAGACAAGATACTAGTAGTCAAGATAAACAAAAAACTGATCAACTACTTAATTTTGAATAATAATAAATTTGTTTAAACCCCTAAGTATATTGAATAGAAATACTGTTAAATATTTTACCTATCGATAGTTAGATTTCCAGACCGTACGTTGATAATGGCCGATTGTAAGTTCTTATGAGAAATTGACGTTTCATATGCAGTCTAAACCATTTTATTAATATAAGACAGTACCCATTATAGGCTATACAGTGCTCTTCTTGCTTTCGTTATGTTTTCATTTACCGTATTATTTCCAGTGAAATTATCAGATTTTTTTATTCTTCAGAATAGTTGGCATTTGAGACAATGTCATGTTTTTTTATTCCATTAACCTAACAAAGATAGTCATCAATTTCTAAAAATATTGTTCTATAGATTTTACCGAAATAACTACACTTTTTGTTTTTGTAGGCTGTAATAGATAACCATTTTTATTGCTGAAATCTTAAGTTATATCTAGTATGGTTTGTAATTCCATGTGGGTTATCAGAGACGATAGCAACATCGTCAGCACAAATAGGGGCACAACAGTTGGTTTTGTTTCAATTTTGCCAACGATACCAGAGTTACTTAGGATGTGCAACAGTGGGTTAGTGTAGATATCATATATGTCAGCGCTAAAAAGACATTTTTTTTAAATTTGATTGCTCTATTCAAAATACAGTAATACAGTGGGTAAGTTTGTTATGCGAGAGAATGTTCTGTGCTGGTGATTTCGTCCTCATCTGTGACGGTGAATCTTTAGCAACCTATTTTTGGTATTTTCCCAACAACGAAGCGCCTAAAATGATTATCATGTAAGTCCACTGGGTTAATTTTCTACTGAAACGCAACACCATACTTTTTTACAGTCGGAATGCTCTTAAAAGTAGTCTACCTTTTTTACCGCACGTCAATCCCCAATCACTCAAAACTTCGTTGTTTTTGATAGATTTCATACTTTGAATGTACTCAAATCTTATCAAGTTGTGTAAAGATCTGCAAAATTGATGTTCCCAGCGAAGTAAGAGTGGTTAAAGTTTATTTGAGTATCTCCTTTCCCTGAAGTCTTGATAGATGGCTATCAGTGTGGTGTTTACCTATCCATGAATATGCCTGTCTAGTTATATTCAATCCTAAAAGTCCAATCCAATAAGCATGTGAAATCTAAGACTTGATCCTTAATTAAGAAAGTCGATTCCTTTCTATTGTCCCCATTTTGCACTATATATAAATAAGATGCGGTATGATTGCAAAAGTGACAACTATCCACGAACGACCACATGACGTGGATGCAAGCAACCATATGTCATCACGCAGCCTTGAACAATAAGCACCGATAACACAGCTTTTTATCCTCGATACAGACCATTTTTGTCCGATACGTGTGTAACAACTCTACACATTCTCGATACCCCTAGTGTGCCAAACTCTTATTTGTTTGAAGTTTCCTTATTCCTAAAAAAATCAACTATCTGTTGCCGTTTTTCTCATTATTTTAGTTCCAATGTTTGTTAAGATGCTTCGTATGCTGCATCCGAACATCCAAAATTTTCAAACACTTTTGTAGCCGCTAGAGATAATTGAAGAGGGGACAGAATTTGAATGATCTCATAAATCCTTTTAAAAAGATGCAAATCATTGTAAAAACAAATATGAGGTATTGCATGAACTCAAACAGGAGATAGATCGAGTGCATCGACAGGGAAAACATCTCCTGCTATTCATGCATTTACCGCAATCCTCACTCAGTCAGAATTTACAGATTAGACGACAACTCTAGTGTCTAAAGATCTCATACTGCGAAAACATGTCGCTAGTGAAGTGAGACACAGACAAATCGTACCAGTAAACCAATTCGCGACGATAACCGTAAAACTCATGTAATGTCGATCTTCAGCGATTTCAGTCGTTCATCATAAATGTGCTGGAGTAGTTTTTTGTATCTGGAATGGGTAAATTGTTTACATGCACGAGCATAACGAATTATTTGAGATATGTAAATGCCATACGATTGGGCAGAGTGTATATATAAACTTGTCATATATACCAGGCTTGAAATTGTATACTCCAGACGCGCGTTTCGTCTACAAAAAACTCATCAGTAACGTTCGAAATTCAATCAAAAAAGTTTTAAAAGTCCAAATAAAGTACAACGTTGTCCATAGAGCATTGGGGACCCTAAATGTATGTTACTGCTGGGAAAGTAGAATTGACAATTGTAAAGTTGAAATATTCATCTCAAGTTCTAACTCGTTGTAAAAGATAAAACTCATGTGCAGCTGGTACTCTGTCCAGGCATTACAGCATTGCTGATGTCTATCGACCACAACTCGCTTGGTATTCCGCTTTTTATAATTTTTCGTAAAACATGTTCACTGATCTGATTAATCAACAACAAGCACCCAACTTGTCATATGTCCTGAATTAACTGAGATATGTAAAGGCCATACGACAGCACAGAGGGTATGTTACTGCTAAAATGGGAGTTGACAATTTGAAAGTTTAAATCATCCCGTTTGTAATAAATAGGTCGTCCATCCGTATCAATATTGGAGAACGGATCAATAAATGAAGAAGGTCTTCTACTTTCTGTAGTATCCTTAATATCAAGTTTACTTGGATATATGAGAAGTATGCACGCATTTAAATGTTGGCTATTTAGTGAATATGTCTGAAAAAATATTGACATATTAAAGAACACTTCAATGTGCATTTTCTATTTGTCTTTGAAAAGAGTTCTGAAAGAATTCTGCTTCGTGTGAGTATAAAAACAAATCGACCAGTAGGATGCACTATTTGTACCCATTGGAATACAAACTATCGGCAGAAATATCAATCCACCATACTCAACACATGTGTTGTCTATCAAAAAGTCCAGCCTTGGGAAGATATCATCTACGTTGTATTTTTATTTTATTCCAAATTCCTCTTAGTATTATTTATTATTTATTATTCTTTAATATACCAACATGATAATTATTGCTGTTAAAGTGCGATGAATTAGTAAAAACAAGTACATGATATCAAACATATTGTTTTGAAAATATGAATTATTGTAATATTAAACAGATGGCTATAGGTATTTTAATGTAGTTTAATGCTTTATAACCCATATTAATTTTTAGTTAACTATTTAAAGTATCCTTCCAGTCAGTTATGAGGTAGTTTGGAAATAAATATTTTTGTGTTGTAATTATGTTTGAGTATTTTATTTTTTTTTTAAATCTAATTTTGTGAACCTTTTTGTTTGGAGAGGGCTTAACATAGGCTTTGCTTGTTGCCCAGTCCATTTCATTTATTTGAATAAATTGTTTAAACTAACATAACAGCATAAGACACACAAAAGGTAAACTTCATAACGATAAACCTAAAAGTCAATTCAAAAACTGTAAATGAAAAAGCTTATACGTTGTTCGTAAAACCAAAGATAGAATATATGAGCTGCGTCTGGGACCCACATACCATATCACAAACACATCGACTTGAGGTGTTCCAACGCACTGCAGCTATGTACACCTGAAAAAAATATAACACCAGCTCAGATACTGTCAACGGAATAACTCTAGAAAAATGGCGAAAAGATCACGCGTCGTCTTTTTCTACAATATCATGCACCATGTTATAGTCATATACAGAACATATACAGATTTGCTTACCAAATCCAACTTGAGAACAAGAAAATATTCACACAGTTGCTCTTACAGAACTATATATACAGACCGCGAAAAATTAATACAATTACCCATTTCCCCCGGAAATAATAGTTCAATGGAGCCTCCTATCTGTAGCTGCAATAAAATGTACTATATGATTTATTTATTAGTTGTTAATGGCTTTGGACTAGCTTACGATAACTGCAAATACTCTTAGATTTGTTCTTTGTGTCATTTTTCTTTATGTTAGTTTATTTTTATGCTTGTTGTCAGTCTGATGAGTTGGTCCATTTCTCACGTATTTTCCACAGTTTTTATTCTGTGCTGTTACACCACTGTCCCATGTTTATCCACAACACATTATATACGTAACTGTCCAAAGTCAGCCTGTACTTCAGTGGTTGTCGTTGGTTGCTGTCTATTATATTTGTTTTTTGTTTATTGTTTTTTTTCCGAAACTAAACAGTTGGTTTTTTCGTTTAATTTGTCTCGCATTTTGTTATGTCGGTGCCTTTAATACTGACTATTTTCATCGTTATAGACCGCATGGTTACCTATTGTTAATTAAATTCACGTCATTTGAAAGCACACCACACGTTTATACATTTGACAGTTTTCGAGAAAAAGATCCCAATATCTATTTTCGGCAAACATCTCAACATTTTATAAAAAAAAACTTACTGCATATAGATTATACCAAAGTTTACAAACCAAAACTGGAAAAAAGAGCATTGATTTGAATTTTATCCCTGTATATATCTGGCTACAAATATCAATATGATCTCACGGACGCGCGGCTTAGTGATATTAGTGCCCGACACATAATCATCAGTATGTTGCTGGAGATAATGATGTTCGCAGCAATTTCTTCTCCTCACAATGACAACAACACTATTTATGCAGGTGGAACTTTTCCCATAAACGAAAAAGAACGACGAACAACAAAGAAGAGCAAGCAGTTAATTAACAAGTTGATACAACAGCTGCAACTAGATTTTATTTATTATATCACTACTAATATCGGGTAAACGATAACAGACAAATATGGAACCACGTCCAAACTGATGGACCAACAATCATCTAGAGAAAGCGAAAATAATCAATCCCTGACCTATAATTGCTTACATTCACTTCATTTGAACTATAATGGATAGTTGTCTTATTGGCAATCATACCACATCATTCTCCTTGTTTTTATGATATAAGTAAAAGGTTTTGCATTTTAAAACTTACCTGTTTATTCTTTAATCATTGACCATCTTTTACATAATGGACTTGTTTATAGAGTTTTTCTTTCTTCTGTGTTACTACTAGAAACTATTTGAAATTGTCAAATGTATTAGATAAATTTCAAATAGTGTCAGTCTACAAATGGAAGTGTTATATAATTACTTCAATGGTCTACATAACCTTTTGTTCCGAACACAATTCAGTCAGCCAAACAATGTTTTGTTTTGGGTCTGATGCAAATTGTCGAATCAGTGTGTCAACTCAACAACTAATTTCAGTTTTAAAAACAAATCAAAATGTCTTGTGTTTTAGTCTTCACAACACAACAATAAGAAACCCTAAAAATAAGTTTGAAAGGGCGTGGCTCATCAGCCCGGTACTCGAACGGCACTTAAGGTAACAGTGACAGGTGATGATAACCATCGGTGATTGATTGATACTTTTTAATTTTCAAATTAACCAATTATTTCGGTCATGCCTGCTCGTACTACCGTGTACTCAGTTTTGCATCTCATATGTGTTAATTAGGAGGCGATCGACCGAAGGTTCTGCATTTCAAAACGTACCTGTTTATCATTAGTAAACCAACGGCCTGATTTGTTTAAAAAAAAAAACGAAAAACAAAGTTGGTTTTATTACACAACTTTGTCTTGAAAACATGAAAAGAATTCAAGAACAATTTATAAAATTCGAAATTAAACGCTTTGCTCCTCTTCAATCCAGAGTGTAATTGTTGATTTCAAGTAATATTTCATATTCTGATACAATTCTATATCATTTTCAATTAGTATATGACTTTTCATATCTAATGTATTTAATCTGGGACTATTATAACTAAGCATATTAGTCCCAGATTTAATCTCATATTATGTCTCATTTAAAGTATATGATATAAATCTTTCATACAGATCAAATTCTGGAATGCTATTTTTTAATTAATTCTACATGCATTCATCTTAAATATATTTTTGAAGCACTTAGTTTCATTAAATGTTCATTTACCAATTATTGAAAAATGCGATCAATTTACTGTTTACAGAAAATGTTATCAAGGGCGAAAGATGTTTAGACCGAAAAGACATTGCAGAAAGGAATTGGGGCGAAATAACCCAAATAAGTGTAAACAACGAAGATCCTGGTAGGCCTTTGAAACAGAACGAAGAAATTGGGAAAAGAGTAAACAAAAATGACACACAACGAAGAAAGAGCACATTGGGTTAAAGAAGGAGTCATTGGACTCGGAGGTTAATATGAATTTGTAGCAGTCGGAGATTAAATATAGACTTTTAACTGTTGACTAATCCCACAGGCACTTGTTTCTATCCATGGGAAACACCACTATCAACGTATATTTACGTAAATATACGTTGATAGTGGGGCTTCCCATGGATAGAAACAAGTGCCTGTGACTAATCCCCATGTAACAGGTTGGTTTTTTTTTACTGGTTTGGGACAATCACCCAAATAGGTTATATCTAGGACTAATAAATTATATCATGTTAGTGTAATAGTCTCCGTTATTTGCCATGAAGGTACCCACCCCCATTACGACCCTCTTATAAAGTATCTTGATACAAATAATTTGACAAAAAAGGGATGTCAGTTATATCCCTTTTTAGCTCATCGGGGCCCAAAGGGCCCCATATGAGCTTATGCCATCACTTGGCGTCCGTCGTCGTCGTCGTCTGTTGTTGTCTTTCGTCGTAAACTATTTCAAAAATCTTCTCCTCTGAAACTACTGGGCCAAATACCTTCAAACTTTAACTAAATGTTCCTTAGGGTATCTAGTTTATAAATTGTATCCGTGTATCCGAAGTTTTGATCCATCGACAAACATGGCAGCCATTGCTAAAAATAGAACATAGGGGTCAAATGTAGTTATTGGCTTATATCTCAAAAACTAAAGCTTTTAGAGCAAATCTGACATGGGGCTAAATTGGTCAATTGGTCAAGATCTATCAGCTCTGAAATTTTCAGACGAATCGAACAACCTATTGTTGGGTTGCTGCCACCGAATTGGTAGTTTTAACAAAATTTTGCAGTTTTTTGTTATTATTTTGAATATTATTATAGATATATATAAACTGTAAGCAGCAATAATGTTCAGCAAAGTAAGATCTACAAAAAAGTTGATATGACCATAATTGTCAATTGACCCCTTAAGGAGTTATTGCCCTTTAAATACAATTTTACACAATTTGCTCATCAAGTTTGCTAACATTTAAAAATCTCCTCTGAAACTACTGGACCAATTACCTTCAAACTTAAACTAAATATTCCTTAGGGTATCTTGTTTATAAATTGTATCTGAAGTTTGTATCCATTAAAAACATGGCCGTAATGGCTAAAAATAGAACATAAGGGTCAAATGCAGTTTTTGGCTTATATCTCAAAAACTACATCTTTTAGAGCAAATGTGACAGGGGTAAAATTGTTGAATTGGTCAAGATCTATCGGCCCTAATTTTCAGACGAATCGAACAACCCATTGTTGGGTTGCTGCCACCGAATTGGTAGTTTTAACACAATTTTGCAGGTTTTTGTTATTATTTTGAATATTATTATAGATATATATAAACTGTAAGCAGCAATAATGTTCAGCAAAGTAAGATCTACAAAAAAGTTAATATGACCATAATTGTCAATTGACCCCTTAAGGAGTTATTGCCCTTTAAAGACAATTTTACACAATTTGTTCATCAAGTTTGCTAACATTTAAAAATCTCCTCTGAAATACAGGTGAGCTTTTCAGGCTCTTGAGAGCCTCTTGTTTGTCAAATTATTTGTATCAAAATACAATGTACTTATATTATAACTTTTATTTAGCAACTTTTTTGAATACATGATTGTTTATGAGTTTGATCCCTTGGAAGATGCTGCTTTCCAGAGCCCAATAACCCAAATCGGCAAATAGGATATAAACTTACTGTGCACAATTTTTGTTTATTTAAGGGAAATTATAAGAGGGTAGGAATGCCCTTTACGTCAGGCGTCAGACGGTCATTTTTCGGCTACCGTTAGCGTCAAATTGGTTAAAATTTTACTGTGATTCATCAAAACATCAATATTGTGATTCGTCAGGGGTCTTAAATAATTATCGATACCGTCATTTTTGGAAAATAGTAACAAGATTTGTAAAAATCAATCCATTTTTTTTATCGTCATGCACCTAAAATTACTGTTTACGTGATTTGGCAAGATTTTTTACCGTTATTTGTCATGAAGGTACAATGTATCCCCATTAGGACCCTCTTATAAAGTATCTTAATATAAATAATTTGACAAAAAAGGGATATAACTTTTATTTAGCAACTTTTTGAATACCTGGTTGTTTACGAGTTTGATCCCTTGGAAGATGCTGCTTTTCAGAGCCCAATAACCCAAATCGGCAAATAGGATATAAACTTACTGTGCACAATTTTTGTTTATTCAAGGGAAATTATAAGAGGGTAGGAATGCCCTTTACCGTCAGGCGTCAAACGGTCATTTTTCGGCTACCATTAGCAACAAATTGGTTAAAATTTTACTGTGATTCGTCACAATATCATTATTGTGATTGGTCAGAGGTCTCAAATAATTATCGATACTGTCATTTTTGGAAAATATTAAAGTGATTTGTAAAAATTTGTTAAATTAGGATATAAACTTACTGTGCACAATTTTTGTTTGTTCAAGGGAAATTATAAGAGGGTAGGAATGCTCTTTACCGTCAGGCGTCTAACGGTCAGAAACCTATAATATATCAAATATTTAATACAATCCAAATTCAGACCTGTATCAAGCTTGAATATTGTGTCCATTTTTGCCCCAACTGCTCAGGGTTGGACCTCTGCGGGCGTATCCAGCTGCGCTCAGCGAAGCAGTTTATTCAGCTACCGTTGGCTTCAAATTGGTTAAAATTTTACTGTGATTCGTCAAAATATAATTATAGTTACCGTCATTTTTGGAAAATATTAACGTGATTTGTACAAATCAGTCCATTTTTTTATTTTCATGCACTAAAAATTACTGTTTACGTCATTTGGCCAGATTTTTTACCGTTATTTGTCATGAAGGTACCCCCATTACGACCCTCTTATAAAGTATCTTGATACAAATAATTTGACAAAAAAGGGATATAACTCTTTACTCTTCTTCTACAGTGTTAAATTGTTGATTTCAAGTGATAAAAATTTATGGTAATATATGTAATATATGTAATATAGTGATCTAGTGAAATATTTTCTCTATAGTGGGATTCAATATAAACTTTAGGGATAGCAATTTTTTTTTGTTTCATCACACACACACAAGCAGACAGAGAATGAATCATGATAGATATATGAATGAAAAAAAAAATAAGAGACATCTAAAGAAAACCTCATTGTTCTCACTAATTGACAAGTCACAACATCTTAAAACAAATTGCTCAAGAGTCGAAGAGTTTTAAATTAATTCATGGATTGAAAAGGATTTTACAGAAACACTAAATTCTTAAATAGACATAGCCACTAACAATAAAATTCATGATCTGCTCACCACAAAAAGTGTTTGAATTGTGTCTGAAGTCTGTGTTTTACATTTAACAAAATGTAAAAATTTCTTTGTAGTTGGAGTTTTATATGGAGTTACAAATGTCTGCGTTGGTCATCCTTTTGATACCATTAAAACAAAAATGCAAGCTCAAGCAGGATTCGAGAAATCTAATATGTTCCAGACTTTAGCCAAAACTCTTCGGACTCAGGGGGTTATTGGTTTATACAGGTAAAGTTTTGATAATTGATATTGGACATGTTTTTAAATGTAACTGTTGCTCCTTGAATGGAGAATTGTTTTGAATATTTAGTATGATGATATCATAGAGTTGATATTTTGGTACTTGAAGTCTTATTGAAGTTGAATCTTTTCCACATTTGTTTTTGCACATCTAAAAACGTAAATCAGGAAATTTTAAGCAATTCAGGATCATATAAGAATAAGAAGATGTGGTATAATTGCCATTGAGACAACTCTCCACTAGAGACCAAATGACATAGAAGTTAACAGCTATATGTCACCATACGGTCTTCAACAATGAGCAAAACCATACTGCATAGTCAGCTATAACAGGCCCCGAAATGTCAAATGTAAAACAATTCAAACGAGAAAACTAACAGCCTGATTTATGTACAATATGATGAACGAAAAACAAATATGATATGTCACCGTAGGGTCTTCAACAATGAGCAAAACCATACCGCATAGTCAGCTTTAACAGGCCCCGAAATGTCAAATGTAAACCAATTCAAACGAGAAAACTAACGGCCTGATTTATGTACAATATGATGAACGAAAAACAAATATGATATACAGCAACAAACAACAACCACTGAATTACAGGCTCCTGACTTAGGACAGGCACATACAGAATATGATGAGATTAAACTAGTTTGAAGGCGGCAACCCTCCCACTAACCTAGGACAGTGGTGTAACAGTACAAAATAAGAACAAACTATAAAAATCAGTTGAAAAGGGCTTAAGTCATCAGATCGATACAAAGTAGAAATACATCTAACAAAAACACAGGTCAGACCTGTCAGGGTACTTATACATCCCACAACAAAAAAGACCACTAAGTACAGATCTGAGAGTACTTGCAGTTACTGACAGCTAGTTCAAAGCCAATAAAAACTAATAAAAAAAATCTTGCATCTAAGACCAAAATATCAAACAGTACACATCCAACATGCAATGAATTTAGTGTAAAGACCTCATTAACAGTCAGAGAAAAACATGACCTTGTGCAATGCAAAGATACAGTTATTGACAGATGGTAGAGCCATAGATGTGCATGCATATGTATATTAAAAATAATATTTAGTGTGATTTTAATTTACTGATAACAAAATCAATATTAATACATGTACCAATAAACACAATATTCAAAGATCTAATTACAGTGTTGATGTATTTTTATGGGAATTGTGTTTTTCTATGAAGTTTTATCCCTTATTGCAAATCTCATTCTGTTATTTTTCAAGACATATATACAATGGAAAATAAAGGATATATTTTTTTGCATTCACGATATATTTTTCTTGTTGGGAAAATTCAAATAACATGATTTTGATGTCATTTTTTCATAGGTACAGACGGAAACACAAATTTCTCATATAACATATATATTTGTAATACAATGATTTAACTGTCCAATATGAAAAGATGGCAATGTGGTATGATTGCTAATGAGACAACTATCAACCAGAGACCAAAGAACAAGGATGTTAGAAACTAGTCTGTATACATTGATTGAATCTGCTGATGTTCTGAAAATTAACAGAACATGAAGAAGAAAAATAAATTTGCAATGAAATAATGACAATGCAAAATTAATTATTTATTAAGAGAAAACGTAATCTTTGATCTTCATGAGCAAAAGGAGATATAGGTCAATGAGACAGTAATTCAATAATACAAACAATGATTGATTGTTGGCTGCTTAACCTCCAGTGGCAAATAATACACAAAAAACAGCCATCAGTTGAGACAGTGGCAAATAGAACAAACAAAGACAAGCCATCAGTTAATACAGTGGCAATTAAAACAAACAAAAACAAGCTATCAGTTGAGACAGTGGCAAATATTACAAACAAAAACAAGCCATCAGTTGAGACAGTGGCAAATAATAAAAAACAAAAACAAGCCATCAGTTGATACAGTGGCAAATAATACAAACAAACACAAGCAATCAGTTGAAAAAGTGGCAAAAAATACAAGCAAAAACAAGTAATCAGTTGAGACAGTGGCAAATAAAAAAAACAAAAACAGCCATCAGTTGAGACAGTGGCAAATAATACAAACAAAAACAAGCCATCAGTTGAGACAGTGGCAAATAATACAAACAAAAACAAGCCATTAGTTGAGACAGTGGCAAATAATACAAACAAAAACAAGCCATCAGTTGAGACAGTGGCAAATAATACAAACAAAAACAAGCCATCAGTTGAGACAGTGGCAAATAATAAAAAACAAAAACAAGCCATCAGTTGAGACAGTGGCAAATAATACAAACAAACACAAGCAATCAGTTGAAACAGTGGCAAAAAATACAAGCAAAAACAAGCCATCAGTTGAGACAGTGGCAAATAATAAAAACAAAAACAAGCCATCAGTTGAGACAGTGGCAAATAATACAAACAAAAACAAGCCATTAGTTGAGACAGTGGCAAATAATACAAACAAAAACAAGCAATCAGTTGAAACAGTGGCAAAAAATACAAGCAAAAACAAGCCATCAGTTGAGACAGTGGCAAATCATACAAACAAAAACAAGCCATCAGTTGAGACAGTGGCAAATAATACAAACAAAAACAAGCCATCAGTTGAGACAGTGGCAAATAATAAAAACAAAAACAAGCCATCAGTTGAGACAGTGGCAAATAATAAAAAACAAAAACAAGCCATCAGTTGAAACAGTGGCAAATAATACAAACAAACACAAGCAATCAGTTGAAACAGTGGCAAAAAATACAAGCAAAAACAAGCCATCAGTTGAGACAGTGGCAAATAATACAAACAAAAACAAGCCATCAGTTGAGACAGTGGCAAATAATAAAAACAAAAACAAGCCATCAATTGAGACAGTGGCAAATAATAAACAAAAACAAGCCATCAGTTGAGACAGTGGCAAATAATACAAACAAACACAAGCAATCAGTTGAAACAGTGGCAAAAAATACAAGCAAAAACAAGCCATCAGTTGAGACAGTGGCAAATAATACAAACAAAAACAAGCCATCAGTTGAGACAGTGGCAAATAATACAAACAAAAACAAGCCATTAGTTGAGACAGTGGCAAATAATACAAACAAAAACAAGCAATCAGTTGAAACAGTGGCTAAAAATACAAGCAAAAACAAGCCATCAGTTGAGACAGTGGCAAATAATACAAACAAAAACAAGCCATCAGTTGAGACAGTGGCAAATAATACAAACAAAAACAAGCCATCAGTTGAGACAGTGGCAAATAATAAAAACAAAAACAAGCCATCAGTTGAGACAGTGACAAATGATACAAACAAAAACCAGCCATTAGTTAAGACAGTGGCAAATAATAAAAACAAAAACAAGCCTTCAGTTGAGACAGTGGCAAATAGTAAAAACAAAAACAAACCATCAGTTGAGACAGTGGCAAATGATACAAACAAAAACAAGCCATCAGTTGAGACAGTGGCAAATAATAAAAACAAAAGCAAGCCATTAGTTGAGACTGGCAAATGATACAAACAAAAACAAGCAATCAGTTGAGACAGTGGCAAATAATAAAAACAAAAACAAGCCATCAGTTGAGACAGTGGCAAATGATACAAACAAAAACAAGCCATCAGTTGAGACAGTGGCAAATAATACAAACAAAAACAAGCCATCAGTTGAGACAGTGGCAAAGAATACAAACAAAAACAAGTCATCAGTTGAGACAGTGACAAATGATACAAACAAAAACCAGCCATCAGTTGAGACAGTGGCAAATAATACAAACAAAAACAAGCCATCAGTTGAGACAGTGGCAAATAATAAAAAAAACAAGCCATCAGTTGAGACAGTGGCAAATAATACAAACAAAAACAAGCCATCAGTTGAGACAGTGGCAAATAATACAAACAAAAACAAGCCATTAGTTGAAACAGTGGCAAATAATAAAAACAAAAACAAGTCATCAGTTGAGACAGTGGCAAATAGTAAAAACAAAAACAAGTCATCAGTTGAGACAGTGGCAAATAATACAAACAAAAACAAGCCATTAGTTGAGACAGTGGCAAATAATACAAACAAAAACAAGCCATCAGTTGAGACAGTGGCAAATAATACAAACAAAAACAAGCCATCAGTTGAGACAGTGGCAAATAATACAAACAAAAACAAGCCATCAGTTGAGACAGTGGCAAATAATAAAAACAAAAACAAGCCATCAGTTGAGACAGTGGCAAATAATAAAAACAAAAACAAGCCATCAGTTGAGACAGTGGCAAATAGTAAAAACAAAAACAAGCCATCAGTTGAGACAGTGGCAAATAATACAAACAAAAACAAGCCATCAGTTGAGACAGTGGCAAATAATACAAACAAAAACAAGCCATCAGTTGAGACAGTGGCAAATAATACAAACAAAAACAAGCCATCAGTTGAGACAGTGGCAAATAATACAAACAAAAACAAGCCATCAGTTGAGACAGTGGCAAATAATACAAACAAAAACAAGCCATCAGTTGAGACAGTGGCAAATAATACAAACAAAAACAAGCCATTAGTTGAGACAGTGGCAAATAATAAAAACAAAAACAAGCCATTAGTTGAGACAGTGGCAAATAATAAAAACAAAAACAAACCATCAGTTGAGAATATTGTGAAAAGTATGAACAATGTTATTGTTCTTATATTTTATGTTTATGACATTAACTTATTAACTCGTGTATGGGATATGTCATTGTAAAAGATTGTATGATAGTAAACACTACACTAAGTTATTACAACATTTATTTATTACATACACCAAACCAAGCTGTCTAGGAAAATAAATTTGACACATTTTTATCTTTACAGAGGTTGTATACCACCATTATGGGGATCAGGAATTTACAGATCATCACAGTTTGCTGTGTTTGAGGCGGTGTAAGTCTAATAAAATACATGATTACGTTTATTATCAAAATTCCTGAAGGAAAAATATAAACCCTCTCATTTTTACCCCAGCTCTTCTGAGGCAAAGACCATTTCTGACTTTTAAACTAAATAAGACTGTCACGGGTTGAATTGCCATTATTTTCATTTGATGAGGTTAAGGATTACCACAAAAAAAGAATTAGTACATCAGAAAAAAGTTTAGATGCCTTTAAAGTGTCATTTGTCATTTAACTTAACTTAAAAGGTCAAATGTCATTCAATTTAGGCATAAAATATCTAGATTTAATGTCATATAAATTAACTTAAAGGTCAAATGGCATACTTAAAATATCAAATGTCATTTACTGTATAAATTGAAGGTCAAATATCATTTATCTTAACTTAAAAGATCAAATGTCATTCACCTTAACTGAAAAGGTAAAATGTCATGTCAAATGTCATTTCACGTTACTTTAAAGGCCAAATATCAATTAACTTAACTTAAAAGGTTAAATGGCATTCACCATAGCCTAAAAGGACGTGTTTTGAACATATATGGTAAATACATGTAGGTAAAACATAAAGGACAAGGTACGATAAGGCCTGTTTTTGGCCCCCCTATTTTCTCATTTTTGAAATTATGTTTTGGAAAGCTACTTTTCATGTTAAAATATTCCCTAAGGTTTGAAGTTTGTTTGGATGAACTTCAAAACCACTAATTTTAGCAACTGGGTGAGGTGAGGGGGGTAAACTTTCTGTTATTATTCAAATATTGTAATTATTATTCACTTTGCAGGTGTTTCGTACAACGAAATTTTAGTTTTTAAGTACTTGCGCCAACGTGACCCAGGAATTTTTTTATTCCAATGTCATTAGAACTGTTTTTGCTGTCTAAATCTCCATAATTTTCTCCGGGTCACGTAGGCGCACGCTATTAAATTTTAAGAAACAATGGCCAAAATTCGTAATTTTTCCTTCTTTTGGCGTTTTTGATACCCTTTAACCCCCTCACCTCACCCATTTTCTGAAATTAATGGTTTTGAAGTTCATTCAAACAAACTTCAAACCTAAGGGAATATTTTAACATGATAAGTCGCTTTCCAAAACAAAATTTGAAAAATGATAAAATAGGGGGCCAAAATGGAGGCTAATCGTACCTTGTCCTTTTTCAGAAACATTTTACTAACTTTGAAATGTTTTTGGCTTTATAAATCGAGATTGATTTTAAAAAAAAAATAAAGTGAATAGGGATGGCGACAAAATAGCTTTTGGTAATGTAAGCAGCAACAAAGGTTTACCGTAAATAACAAACTGTATAATTTATTGCGCTTATTTTATTAATAGGTATACAAGACTCGATTCACCTCTAGGGAGATCTGAAATTCCAGGTACGGGAGCTTTGCAGTTGTAAGTAGTGCTAGTAGTTCAGTGTAGAAAACATTTACATGCTTCACAGAATTGGGTTTATGAAAGTTTTATTCACTCTTATAAATAAAATCATTCTCTTGAAATATATATAACAAGTCATTTTTATGCCCCCCTCGTAGCGGTGGGGGCATTAAGTTTTACCCTTGTCCGTCTGTACGTCCGTACGTACATCCGTACCTACTTCCGTCTTTACGTCCCAAAATTGGTTTCCGTTCTCTAACTTGAGTTTGCCTCAACCAAATGTTATGAAACTTATACACAATGCTTATTACCACAAAACACAGATCAATATTGAATTTTGGTGACATCACTTTAACCGTTCTAGAGTTATGCCCCTTTATAAATGGAAAAATTGCAAAATTTTTAGTTTCCATTCTATAACTTAAGTTTGCCTCAACAAAATGTTATGAAACTTATTCACAATGCTTATTACCACAAAACACAGATCAAGTTTGAATTTTGGTGGCGTAACTTAAACTGTTCTAGAGTTATGGCCCTTTATATATTGAAAAATTGCAAAATTTTTTTTTTCTTCTAAATGTCAAGTAATTTTAAAATTAGAGTTATCTTCCTTTGTCAATGATTATAGTTGAATCAACTACAATCAATGCTTTATACAATGCAATGTTGAATTTTGACTTCCAGTGATAAAACACAGATCAAGTTGAATTTGGGTAGTGTCACTTTAACCATTATTGAGTTATGTCCCTTTATAATTCGAAAGATTGCAAAATTTTTAGTTTCCATGCTGTAACTTAAGTTTGCCCCAACCAAACATTATGAAACCTATACACAATATTCATTACCACAAAACTAAGATCAAGTACAAATTTTTTGTTTCCGTTTTCTAACTTTAGTTTGCCTCAAACAAATGTTATGAAACTTATACACAATGCTTATTACTACATAATACAGATTAAGTACGAAATTTGGTGGCGACACTTTTACCATTCTTGAGTTATGTCCCTTTATAAACATAAACATTGCTGAATTTTTTAGTTTGTCTCAACCAAATGTTATAAAACTTACACACAACCGTTCTAGAGTTATTTGTGTTTACAAATAGAAAAATTGCTGAATTTTTAGTTTCTGTTTTCTACTTAAGTTAGCCTCAACTAAATGTTATGAGACTTACACACAATGCTTATTACCACAAAACTCATATCAAGTTCAAATTTGGGTAGGGTCATTTTTATTGTTCTTCAGTTATGTCCCTTTATAACTATAATATGCAAGCGGGGGCATCATCTGTCTCCACATGTGGACACTATCCACATTTATTTAATGTTTAAACTAGCCACCTGTTAATATATTTATTTGTAAGTCAGTGGTTGTTTTAGTAGGATGTTAGATTATTTTCTTTTTAATGATGAATCTTTGGTATTCTCAGTTATAGTGGTAGACAGACCGTAAGAGACCTAACTAAAAAGTAAAAACATCACCAGTACATCTGTGTGTCTACCATTTTCATAAATATATTCTAAGCTTCTTAGTAACACAGATTACTCTACTTCCATTTCACATGAGTGCTTATAAAACATCAATGATACTTAGTATTATAAACACATTACCGGTACTGATTAAAAGAATTATCTCTAAACCCAGGTAAATCTCCTTTAATCATTCAAAACTTATTAAGATTCAGGACAATTTAGGACAAGGCTCCTATATTATTGAGTAGTGATGGATTCAGGGGGAGGGGCATATAGGGGTACCCTTTCATTTGATTGGAAAACGTTTAAATTTAATTTTTTTTTGTTGCTCAAAATCATCAAAAAAACATTTTGCCTTTCTACACTTTATTGTATTTTTACCATTTCAGACAATTACACTCCCTTTCATTCAACCCTGGATCTGTTCCTGTTGATGAATGCCCTGCACCTCCTTTCAATCATTTAAAAAAATATGTATCAATATGGAGACTTATATAGATGGATGAAGATTTAAAATCTTTTATATAATAATAAGGATATGTGGTATGATTGCCAATGAGACAACTATCCACCAAAGTTCAAATGAAGTGTTCAACAATGAGAAAAACCCCTACCGTATAGTCGTTTAGTTCATTTATAACTTTTAGTTGAAGATGTTGAAGACCTCAAGTAATTGCACATTTTTTTGTTTACAATATGGCAAATTTATGTTCAATTTTTGTCTCACCTTGACGGAGTCAAAAAGCGAGACATAGGTATGCTGTTTCCAGCGTTGGCGACGGCGTCAACAATGTATTAGTTTGTGATTAGGTCTAGTTCATGGTAAACCACTAGTGGTAGGTCAATGATATTTGGTATTCACTTGTATTAGGATTGTCACATCTCATTACCTTGGAGATTATTTGGCCCCGCCCCCTCAGTCAAGGTCTATTGACTTTGAAACTTTTCATAGTTTACATGTATTAGTTTGTGATTAGGTCAATTTATGGGGAACCACTAGTGGTAGGTCAATGATAATTGGTATGCAGTTGTACAAGCATTGGCACATCTCATTACCATGGAGATTATTTGGCCCCGCCCCCTCAGTCAAGGTCTATTGACTTTGAAACTTTTCATAGTTTACATGTATTAGTTTGTGATTAGATCAATTTATGGGGAACCACTAGTGGTAGGTCAATAATATTTGGTATGCAGTTGTATAAGCATTGGCATATCTCATTTCCATGGAGATTATTTGGCTCCGCCCCCATAGTCATGGTCTATAGACTTTGAAAATTTTGCTTAGTTAACATGTATTAGTTTGTAATAAGGTCAGTTCAAGGGGAACCATTAGTGGAAGGCCAATGTTAATTGGTGTTCAGTTGTATAAGCATTAGCACATCTCATTTCCATGGAGAATATTTGGCCCCGCCCCCTCAGTCATGGTCTATTTACTTTGAAACTTTTGCTTAGTTTACATGTATTAGTTTGTGATTAGATCAGTTTTAGATGAACTGCTAATGTTAAGTCAATGATATTTGGTATGCAAATTTATTGGCATTTGCAAGTATCTTTTCCATGGAGATTATATAGCCCCACCCCTGATCATGGTTCATTGACTTTTAAACTTTTACATAGTTTACAAGTTAATGTTTGTGTTTAGGTTTGTTTAAAGGGAACGACTTATAATAAGTCAATGGAATTTGGTATGCAGTTGTATTAGCATTGGCACATCTTATTCCATGGAGATTGTTTAGCCATGTACCTTCAGTCATGGTTCATCGACTTTGAATATTTGCATAACTTACATGTTAAAGTATTGCTATTTTAATTTCAACATTTGCATTATCAAAATTACAAAAAGGCGAGACATATCTCTGTAATAACAGTTTATTAATATAAGTAAAGGACTACATTGTATCCCATCTATTATATACAAATGTCAGCATTTTCCTTGGTTACTAAACATGAACATTTTTTGTATAATAATATTACTTTTTGCTGCATAACAAATATATTTTATAATCAAAATACGTTTACAGATTAGAAAACATGTATATCAGTTTTCATGATATTACATATTTTTTAAGATAGAAACTCCTATATATAGTATATTTCTCATGTCAGTGCATGATACCTGGTTACCTGCTTATTGTTATGCTCCCTGAAAAATTTATGGAGCATTTAGCAATTACTTTGTCCATCCGTCCTTTCATATGTGCATCCGAAACAATAGGATTCCAGATGAAAAATTGACTTTCTCTTGCTTGATTGGAATGAAACTTAAAAAGATGGAAGATATAGAGAGGGGGATGAAGCCTATTGATTTTTGGGTTTATAGGTCACAGATCAGGGTCACTGGTACTAAAAATAGAGAAAAAAAATATAAAAATGGTTTCTGGATCCTAGCTTGAGTTTCCCTTGATTGTTTGAAGTGATACTTGAAAATATGAAAGATATAGAGAAGGGAAAGAAGCCCCTTGATTTTAGGGTCAATGAGTTAAAGATGAAGATGAAGTTCACTGTAATTAAAAGTAGATTTTTTTCAAGTTTGTTTCAGGAGGGATACTTTAGTTTTCTTTTGAGATTCCTATTGATTTTCAGATCAAGAGGTCAAGGGGTATCCATGAAAGAAATACCTTTCCTCTTAATAAATGTCACTCATGCCATTTGGGGAGCATCAGTTGGCAGTTGATAAGTCAATTAAATCAAGTTACCAATTTCAACATATTACAGAAAACTGACTAACTATTACATAAATATTTCTCTAAATGCGTCAAAAATATTTATTAATTTTGTAGGAGAGTTGTAGGTGCTGGTATTATTGCATCAACATCAAGAGCTATAATAGAAACCCCTTTAGAATTTGCTAAGGTAAGACATATTGTTTATAACTCTGTAAGGCAGGTTATTTGATCAAATGTTTACACTGACTTCCAACAGGCTGACACTTCACTGTTAGATAGTATACAATTTATTTTGTCATATTATAATGGAATACCAGTTACAATCAATGTTGTCACATTATAATAAAATACCAGTTTATACAATTATTATTGTCACATTATAATGGAACACCAGTTACAATTAAAGTTGTCACATTATAATATAACACCAGTTACAATTAATGTTTTCACATTATTTAGCACATTAGTCTTGGTCTGCTTAATGGTCATATAGCAGTTTATGGACCAGGTGGTTCTTTACAAAAAGTATATGGACCAAAGTGGAAGCTGGTGTCCATACATTTTTTGTGGATTCAAACTCCTCAGAACCCACCTAGAATAATGAATATATGATATAAATAACTCAGTTACATCATTGGCTTACAAATTCTTATTTTTGAGTGTTCCTAATAAAGGTACAGTGGAGTCCCCGGAGTCCGCGCGGCCGGTGATATTGCGCATTAGCTGATTTCGTCCTATCAACACCGTAACACAAATAAAATCGTTCTTGTTATTGTTTTAGCCTTCCAAAGGGATAAAAAAAGAATAAAATTGATAAGTTCAAGAGTTAATTAATTACTGCAATCCCGAGATTTACAATATTTGGCCAATTTCCATTAAAAAAATTACATCATCAGATTAAATTTGTTTTAATTTAATCAAATTTTAATCAGATTGAAATATTTTTTGCTCTGCATCCTTGGCAGTGTGTTTGGTTTAAATTCAGCTATATTTCATAGTATAAAATCTTTCCTTTATTCAAAATAAGCTATTTTTGGAAGGCATGCGCGAAATCACCGGACATTGGAGGAACTCTCAGAACAGGGGTTTCCCTAATTTTGGACACGCATTACACAAAACCTGAGGGTGAAACCATACAAACAGAAGATTTTATGAAATAAAAGTATGTTATGAATGTGTTCACACAATATTATCTAATTATTGGTTTTATCAGTTGAATGAAGTGAAGTCATAAGTCTTAGGTGCGCGGATACACCGGACTGCACCGTAAATCTCTGATACACCATTTTTTTTAGAACTTATAAAAGGGGTAAACCAATCATACCATAGATATACAAGTAAAGTTAGTAATGTTTTTTATATACCTTTATTAAATTTAAAATTCAAATGATTTGGCTGATGTAAATACTAACTGCAAGATAACCTTTTGTTCCATGCCTAAACCAATAGCCTATGTGTATACTAGGAAATAGCAAAGTGTAGATCCATGGCTTGAAAAAACACCCATCCTAACCAAGAGGAAGTGGATTCCATAGAGGGTGATGAAACTAGAACGTCACTTGAATCTTCCATATAAACTTTCTATATAGTGCGAATTGGCAGTGGAATAAAATTACCGGTAGTTATCAAATAGAAAATAATTCCCAAAATACTTGGAGGAATGACAATAATAGAATTTGATAACATACAGAGAAAAAGCAAAGGATACATCGATGATTTGACAGAACAACTCAAGCAAGTGGAATGAAGGTTCCATAAAGGATCATGAGGAGTGAGCTTCAAAGTTTATGAATATAATGTTTAGTTTGGAAGTTGAATGGTGGTAAAATGAATATTTCACATTCCCCGTTTCCATTCTCAATTTTATACAAGTAAATAGCTAACATTATAAAATGTCATTAGTTACCTGACAACAGAATGCCAACAGACATTAGAAATATGATGAACCCTTTGTAATGCTTTACTTTAATATGAATGATGAAGAATGATGAACCCTTTATAATGCTTTACTTTAATTTGAATGATGAAGAATGGTGAACCCTTTATAATGCTTTACTTTAATTTGAACAATGAAGAATGGTGAACCCTTTATAATGCTTTACTTTAATTTGAATGATGAAGAATGGTGAACCCTTTATAATGCTTTACTTTAATTTGAATGATGAAGAATGGTGAACCCTTAATAATGCTTTACTTTAATTTGAATGATGAAGAATGGTGAACTCTTTATAATGCATTACTTTAATTTGAATGATGAAGAATGATAAAGAATGGTGAACCCTTTATAATGCTTTACTTTAATTTGAATGATGAAGAATGGTGAAAGAATGGTGAACCCTTTATAAGGCATTACTTTAATTTGAATGATGAAGAATGGTGAAAGAATGGTTAACCCTTTATAATGCTTTACTTTAATTTGAATGATAAAGAATGGTGAACCCTTTATAAGGCTTTACTTTAATTTGAATGATAAAGAATGGTGAAAGAATGGTGAACCCTTTATAATGCTTTACTTTAATTTGAATGATGAAGAATTGTGAATCCTTTATCATGCTTTACTTTAATTTGAACGATTAAGAATGGTGAACCCTTAATAATGCTTTACTTTAATTTGAATGATGAAGAATGGTGAATCCTTTATAATGCTTTACTTTAATTTGAATGATGAAGAATGGTGAACCCTTAATAATGCTTTACTTTAATTTGAATGATGAAGAATGGTGAACCCTTAATAATGCTTTACTTTTATTTGAATGATGGAGAATGGTGAACCCTTTATAAGGCTTTACTTTAATTTGAATGATAAAGAATGGTGAAAGAATGGTGAACACTTTATAATGCTTTACTTTAATTTGAAAGATGAAGAATGGTGAACCCTTTATAATGCTTTACTTTAATTTGAATGATGAAGAATGGTGAACCCTTTATAATGCTTTACTTTAATTTGAATGATAAAGAATGGTGAACCCTTTATAATGCTTTACTTTAATATGAATGATGAAGAACGGTGAACCCTTTATAATGCTTTACTTTAATTAATTTGAATGATGAAGAATGGTGAAAGAATGGTGAGCCCTTTTAACACCTTGCTGTAGTTTGATTGATGAAAAAAGTAGTAGCATCAGTCACTTTACCTGAAGTCATGTCTTACATATATTATTTTAACTCCTGCCATCAAAATTGAATGTAGATGTCTTGGCTATTCTTTTTATGGCTTTCAAATATTTTGTTTTTAGCATTCCTAATGATGGTAGAGCCAGAAAAAGCACTTCCTATACACCAAATTTTTAATGTTTAATCCTTATATTTTGAAGGTGAGAAGACAAACACAGCAGACATGGCATTTAAAGGATGTTTACACGGTAAGAACAATCTTACGCTGTTTTATTGTGTTTTTCATTTTATTTGACAATGTAAAAAATTGCTTGATCACAAAAGTTTTGAAGTTCAAAGTCCATGCTCAGATTACCAGTGCTCATTCATGGAACATCATCAAGTGAAAAAAGACAAATATAAAGACAGTATACCAATATCTTATACATCAGATATAAAACAAACAAACATAGGAATGAAATTTGAAAATGAAAATGAACTCCAAACAGGGTGAGATGTATTGGCATGGTAACATCTCCTGCTATGCATGAGTTGTCAGTCACAAGATTCGAAGATAATAATAATAATAATAATAAATTCTTTATTTAAAGAGGGTAAACACAGTTAGTTACAATTACTAATCTTCCCTGAGGCCCTCATATACAATACAAGTAAAAAAAAAATAATAAGAGAAAAAAAGCAAACATACAACATATTAACACATAGTCAGTTCACAATCGTATAGTCATGATAGTTCAGTGTACATGTACCATTAGAACATATAAAACAGTTACAGAGTGCATGTAGTAAATAGACATTATATACAAATCAAAATCATACATTCTAAAAAAGTAATAGTTGCAATCATTTCAAGACTGAATATTGGGACTGCCTTAAATATCGTTTTATAATTTGTTTAAAACAAAAAGTGTTAAGCCACACACAGTAATAAAAGTCAATGCCAGGAAAAAGTCAAAACAGGTAATTATGTCAGATTAACAAAGCCTCTATCTTGTACCAGCTTGATGTAAATTTTTAAAGACCCAGCATCTATTGAATGTACAGTATTAATTGTCATGGAATTAGGTGGGTATAGGTAAACCACAAATTTTAAAATGTTCAAAGAAAACAAAATTTCCTACAGCCTTGAATGATAGAATTTGATACTGTAAATTCAGAAATTATTGCGATTTTTGAAAAATGGACAAAAATGCGAAATTAATTATTGCGATGTCAGGAAAATCTGCATACAGATATATGTAAAAGATATAAGAATGCGAGTTCTTATTATTGCGATACTCACTCAGTCGCATTATTTGCATTAATAAAAACCTCACAATAATTTCTGAATTTACAGTAAATATTTTTCTTCAATGTACAAAAATTGGTACCTTTGAATATGAAATGAATCCACAGTAGGTTAATTTATGATCAGTTTGAATGTAATGCAAGAAAATACTAAAATTGTATATATATTCTATCAATAATACACAATATTGTGTAGGAATTTCTCGCTGCATTGAAGACCTGTTGGTGACCTTCTGCTGTTGTCTGTTCTATGGTCGGGTTGTTGTCTCTTTGACACATTCCCCATTTCCATTCTCAATTTTATATAAATATTCAGGATTTTAAACCTACTGTATGCAGGTTGATCTTATTTGATTTCCACCGGATGTTTAATCAACCTACCAATCTCCCACAGCTTAGACAATATGTTTATATGGACATAGACATACATTTGTAATTGTTGAGCTTTATGGACTCAGTTGAAATAATAATGGTTAAATTTTCAGGGTTTTGGAGTTACTTGGGTTAGAACTATTGGACTTATGACAACCTACTTCATACTAGTTGATTCTGGCAGACGACACTTTCCTGATCAGTTTAAGAAACCTTTGATTGGACCATTTCTAACAAGTGGCATTGCTGCCACACTAGCTTGGTGGATTGTGTGGCCCTTAGAATACATGAAATGTCAAATACAAAGTAATTATGGAGAGTAAGTATTTGAACAAGGTAACCATAGAAACAATTATTTGCTTCCATCAGAGAAAACAAAATATCAAGATAACTAAAGAAGAAATAACATCCAGTTCCAACAATCTTGGATTTAGTTTAAGTACCAATTCAGTAGGGACATTCCAAAGCGATTCAGACTGAATATTTTAAATGTTATTTTGTTATCTATCAGTGACAAATGTTTCTAAAGCTAATTCTGAGGTATTAATGTAATACATTATCAGTTCCATCCCAATTCAGAGTAAGTTTTTCTCAAAGACCATTGGTTTATTGTCGAGCCTGCAATATTTATGGCGCGAAAGCGAGACATAGCGATCCTAGATTCCGTTGGCGGCGGCAACAACATTCAGCCTCAGTCTGAGGTTAAAGCTTTTCAGTCATCAATAACTTTGTCAAACCTTCAAAAAATTTATGAAATTTGGACAGAAGCTTGTTAATGACCAAAAAACTGTATCTGGAGCAAAATTTTAAAAATATTTATTTTCATTTTCATATGACCGCAAAAATTGGTATGATGTTGTCGTCCACAGACACATTGGTTTTCGCACAATAACTTAAGTTTAAGTGACTGGATCTCTATGAAATTTTACCATAAGGTTCAATACCACAAAAGGAAAGTTGGGATTGATTTTGGGGGTTATGGTACCAACAGTTAAGGAATTAGGGGTCAAAAATAAGCATTTTTGTAACTTCCAGACAATAACTTGTGTGTTTGTGTATGGATCTCTCTGACATTGTACCACAAGGTTCCAGATCACAAAGGGAATGCCGGGATTGATTTTTGGGGTAATTGCCTCAAAATTTTCGGAATTAGGGGCAAAAAAAGGGGCAAAAAAAACAAGCATGTTTCTAGTTTCATGACAATAACTTGTGTGTAAGTGTATGGATCTTTCTGAAATTGTACTACAAGGTTCCATATCACAAAGGGAAAGCTGGAATTGAGTTTGGGGGTAATTGCCCAAAACTTTTATCAAGAAGGGGCCAAAAATAAGCATTTTTCTAGTTTCCAGACAATAACTTGTGTTCAAGTGTATGGATCTCTCTGAAATTGTACTGCAAGGTACCATACCACAGAAGGAAGGTTGGGATTGATTTTGGGGGTAATTGCCTCAAATTTTAGGAATTAGGGGCCAAAAGAGGGCAAAAAACGCATTTTTCTAGTTTCAGGACAATAACTTCTGTGTAAGTGTATGGATCTTTATGAAATTGTACTACAAGGTTCCATATCACAAAGGGAAAGCTGGGTTTGAGTTTGGGGGTAATTGCCCGAAACGATTAGGAATTTGGGGCCAAAAAGGGGCCAAAAAACAAGCATTTTTACAGTTTCCAGACAATAACTTGTGTTCAAGTGTATGGATCTCTCTGAAATTGTACTGCAAGGTACCATACTACAAAGGGAAGGCTGGGATTGAGTTTGGGGGTGATGAATCATAAGGGGGTTCAAAAAATTGGGGGGGGGATATTTTTTTCCTTTTTTTCCTTTTTTTTTCTTTAAAATCTTCCATTTTAAGTTGGTTATTTTTGATTTATATATAAAAGCAAATAATAATGATATGGTTTGATTTCATCAAAAATTGAAATATTGGGGTTCTTTGATATGCTGAATCTAACCGTGTATTTAGATTCTTAATTTTTGGTCCCGTTTTCAAATTGGTCTACATTAAGGTCCAAAGGGTCCAAAACATCGCAATAATTTCTGAATTTACAGTACTGAATCTAACTGTGTATGTTTTTAGATTTTGGATATTGGACCATAATAGCTAAATTAAAAAAATTTAAGTTCTTAGACCACATTCATTTTGTGTCAGAAACCTATGCTGTGTCAAATATTTAATCACAATCCAAATTCAGAGCTGTATCAAGCTTGAATGTTGTGTCCATACTTGGCCCAACTGTTCAGGGTTTGACCTCTGTGGTCGTATCAAACTGCGCCCAGCGGAGCATTTTATTCTGTATTTTAATGGTAAATGGACTTAGTTTTGTTGAGCCTGTGACTTCTGTCGCAGAAAGCTCACCATAGGGATAGTGATCCAGCGGCGGTGGCGGCGTTTAACTAACTACTTAAAAGCTTTATATTTTAGAAGCTGGAAGACCTGGATGCTTCATACTTTGTATATAGATGCCTGATGTTATGAAGTTTCTGTCTGTCATATGTCCATTGTCCTTGACCTCATTTTCATGGTTCAGTGACTACTTGAAAATAAAGTTAAGATTTTTTGTAATGTTAATTTCTCTCTTATTATGAGTTATAGGATAACTATATTTAGTATGTGCCTACCTTGCAAGGCCCTCATGCCTGTCAGACAGTTTTCATCTGACCTCAACCTCATTTCATAGATCAGTGAACATGTTTAAGTTTTCATGGTCAAGTCCATATATCAGATATTATAAGCACTAGGTCTACTATATTTGGTGTACGGAATGATTGTAATGTATGGAAATATTTTACAATGTACATGTCAGTGTGGCAGGTTTTATTTGACCTTGACCTCATTTTCACTGTTCATTGCTCAGTGTTAAGTTTTTGTGTTTTGATCTGTTTTTCTTAAACTATAAGCAATTGGTCAACTATATTTGGTGTATGGAATGATTGTAAGGTGTACATGTCTGTCTGGCAGGAATCATCTGACCTTGACCTCATTTTCATGGTGCATTGGTCAATGTTAAATTTTTCTGGTTAAGTTTGTTTCTTAGAAACTATAAGCAATAGGTCAACTATATTTTGTGTATGGAATGATTGTAAGGTGAACGTGTATTTCCGGTTTGGTTTATCTGACCTTGGCCTCATTTTCTTGGATCATGTTAAGTTTATGTGATACTTGTAGTAAAGCTTTATATTTAGGACTATCAACATAAAATCAGTGATCAGTAAAGCAGGCGAGACGTTTCAGCATGTGCACTCTTGTTTTACAGTTAACAAGAAGATAGAGTTTGTTACAAATCAATTACTTTATCAAACCTTCATAGAATTTTATGAAACTTTGGCAACTTTTTTATGATTAAGAAATAATGTCTGAAGCAAACTTTTGAAAATACATTTTTTTCCATCTTCACTTTTTTTCTGATAGATGCACTTAGTTTTTTACAGTTAACCTTTACAGCTTTACAGACTTTTTGGGATTAATTTTTTTTCACATGATAAATTTGTAAACCTACATGGATTGTTATGAAACTTGGACAGAAGCTGATCTTCAAGACCAAGAAATAGCACCTAAAGAAAAATTTGAATTTTTTTTATGCCCTGCCGTATCGATGGGGGCATTAAGTTTTACCCTTGTCCGTCTGTACGTACGTACGTCCGTCCCAACATTGGTTTCCATTCTCTAACTTGAGTTTGCCTCAACCAAATGTTATGAAATTTTTACACAATGCTTATTATCACAAACCACAGATCAAGTTTGAATTTTGGTGGTGTCACTTTAAATGTTCTAGAGTTATGCCCCTTTATAAATGGAAAAATTGCAAAATTTTTAGTTTCCGTTCTATAATTAAGTTTGCCTCAACCAAATGTTATAAAACTTATACACAATGCTTATTACCACAAAACACAGATTGAGTTTGAATTTTGGTGGCGTCACTTTAACCGTTCTAGAGTTATGCCCCTTTATAAATGGAAAAATTGCAAAATTTTTAGTTTCCATTCTAGGTGTAATACCACCAAATCATAGTACGTCACATCCCGTTGCATACGAAAATAGGTCGGAAAAAATATTCCTTTGCATTTGACAGTTGTAGGTAATTGATCCTACATTTCATTGCAGTAAAACATTTCTGGGTCATAAACATATATCTTGGATATTTCAAAGCACCATTATTTTTTTATTTGGGGTTTCTATAGAATATTTTGGAAACTTGAGGTTACATGGTTACTAAAGCTTGTACACAGGTTAATAAAGGGGGAAAATTTGATTGGTTAACTTCCAGTGAAGGTTATTTTCTTATATGCAATGAAATGTTATGTGAAATTTTTCTATAGTACTGGACAGGATAAAACTTTACTCATGCCAAATATTTCTTTATTTGAAACAAAGATAAATTCTGCACAATTTTTTGAAAAGTGCAAATTTAACAAAGACTAATAGGGGAAAATCAATGGTGGTATTACACCTAATATGGGAAGCTGTACATGCACCTTTGACCTTGTGAGTACTCTCATGTGTTAAAATTTCTTGCTATTTAAGTGAAATATTACAAATAATGAAATATTCTGAGTGGTTTGAGTCTCCAAAACACATTTTATGAGAAAATTTCCTTAAAATAGGACTTTATCATGAATATTAGTTGACAGAACAAGCCATACTTAGAATTTTGGGGAGCCTTTTCTCCTTATTTCTTATATTCTGCTATACTAGAAAATTTTTCCTAAGAAATACTTTTATAAATATATAGTTTTAAGTAAATGAAATTATTTTTAAAGCAGTAACAACAAATTATTCACCAAAAGAGAAGCTTTTTATGTCCCACTCTGGAACGCGGCATAAATTTAAGTTTTACGTAAGGACTTATTGAAACCTCCTTGGAGACAGTAAACTTTTATACTGATAGTTCATTCAGCTTGAATACTTCAAATAACCATTTATTATAACATTTCTATCATAAATGAGTGAAAGTTACCCCAAAATTTTTTTTTATTGGCCTAAAAAGTAGAAATTTTGAGGAAATGAGAGGTATAAATGGACCAAAAGAGACCTTATAAGGCAGACAAAGAGGTCCATTAGTAGTATTTATCACCCTAAAGTCTTCTTTTGTATCATATTCAACTGTTTGTAGGCAGATGAGATAAATATTTGATCATTTATTGGCCCACACTATATTCTATCATGATGCAGCTTGGTTTGGATTTTTCAAAGAAATTTTGCTCGAATCGCTGTAGATGTCGTCTTACATTATATTAGATTTTTCTCAAACTATTGAACTGATTATGACAAATCTTGACAGGAATGCTTGAAATAACCAGTATTACAAAGGAAAAAAGTCTTCTTTAGGTGTAATACCACCAAATCATAGTACGTCACATCCGGTTGCATACGAAAATAGGTCGAAAAAAATATTCCCTTGCATTTGACAGTTGTAGGTAATTGATCCTACTTTTCATTGCAGTAAAACATTTCTGGGTCATAAACATATATCTTGGGTATTTCAAAGCACCATTATTTTTTTATTTGGGGTTTCTATAGAATATTTTGGAAACTTGAGGTTACATGGTTACTAAAGCTTGTACACAGGTTAATAAAGGGGGAAAATTTGATTGGTTAACTTCCAGTGATGGTTATTTTCTTATATGCAATGAAATGTTATGTGAAATTTTTTCTATAGTACTGGACAGGATAAAACTTTACTCATGCCAAGTATTTCTTTATTTGAAACAAAGATAAATTCTGCACAATTTTTTGAAAAGTGCAAATTTAACAAAGACTAATAGGGGAAAATCAATGGTGGTATTACACCTCTATAACTTAAGTTTGCCTCAACCAAATGTTATGAAACTTATACACAATGCTTATTACCACAAAACACAGATCAAGTTTGAATTTTGGTGGCGTCACTTTAACCGTTCTAGAGTTATGCCCCTTTATAAATGGAAAAATTGCAAAATTTTTAGTTTCCGTTCAATAACTTAAGTTTGCCTCAACAAAATGTTATGAAACGTATACACAATGCTTATTACCACGAATCACAGATCAAGTTTGAATTTTGGTGGTGTCACTTAAACTGTTCTAGAGTTTTGCCCCTTTATAAATGGAAAAATTGCAAAATTTTTATTTTCTTCTAAATATCAAGTAATTTTTTAGGTTGGAGTTATCTTCCTTTGTCCATGATTATCGTTCAATCAACTACAATCAATGCTTTATACAATACAATGTTTAATTTTGACTTCCACTAATAAAACACAGATGAAGTTGAATTTGGGTAGTGTCACTTCAACCATTATTGAGTTATGCCCCTTTATAAATTGAAAGATTGCAAAATTTTTAGTTTTCATTCTGTAACTTAAGTTTGCCCCAACCAAACATTATGAAACCTATACACAATATTCATTACCACAAAACTAAGATCAAATACAAATTTTTTGTTTCCGTTTTCTAACTTTAGTTTGCCTCAACCAAATGTTATGAAACTTATACACAACCGTTTTAGAGTTATGCGTGTTTACAAATAGAAAAATTGCTGAATTTTTAGTTTCTGTTCTCTACTTAAGTTAGCCTCAACCAAATGTTATGAGACTTACACACAATGCTTATTACCACAGAACTCAGATCAAGTTCAAATTTGGGTAGCGTCACTTTTACTGTTCTTCAGTTAAGTCCCTTTATAACTATATGATATGCAAGCAGGGGCATCATCTGTGTCCACATGTGGACACTATCCACATTTATTTAAATTCTGTATTTTACTGCTAAATGGACTCACTTTTTAAGTCAAAATTACACTTATACACTGACAGCACCAATTGCAGGTGAGACACGGGGTTCCACAGAACACCTTAACAATTTTTGTTTTTACATCCCACAACAAAAAAGACACTAAGTAAAGATCGGAGTGTACTCACAGTTACTGACAGCTAGTTCAAAGCCAATAACAACTAATAAAAAAATCATGTATCTAAGACTAAAATACACATGAAGGTAACTTTTGTTAATAAAACAAAGTATTCATATGCAAAGGGAATTTACTGTTATTGTTCTGTTTTGGCTATCATGCAAATCTTTTTATATACTTGTTCAATTATCTCCATAAAAAGCTTCATATTTAAGTTGCAACTGATATTTTACAATACACTTTTTTTATTTTTTAATGCTGCATATTGTAAAAATTGTTTAGGTTAATTTCCAGTTTTTATGATGACTTAAATTACTCAAATACAACACAAACTTGAGCCAAAGAGGGAAGTAATTTTTCTGACTTTGAAAAAAATATGTATTGGTTGTGTCCAGTTTTTTATTGGAACAAAACTAATATTATTTGTTTGAATATATATATTTTGATATTCAGTTGAAAGGTTCATAATGGTTTATACTGTGATAAGCAATATTTCCAAAATATAATTTTCTTATGATGTTATGTAAACTAATGAAACACTGCAACTATTCTTTTTAATATTTCCCCAAGTAATTTTCTTCAATATTTTGCACCAGAACATCCATATTTGTAACTTATTAACCATTTGCACAAATTGCCTATCTAAACGACTCTTCATCAAAGACCTGTTACCTGACCTAATGCAATTCAAATATAAGGTCAGAATCTGAGCGGGTTTATTATCTCAAGTTATTTGCCCCTAGCATCAGCAAGGTCAGGTGATACCTCTACATTTATAAGTCCCCTACCGACGAAGTCGAAGGGGACTTTAGGTTTGCACTCCGTCCATCTGTCTGTCTGTCTGTCTGTCTGTCCATCCGTCAGTCTGGCAAATCAGTTTTCCACACTTTTTTATATGTCCGTTTACGTATTATGGTATACTGTTGACTGTCTGTCCGTCCATCTGTCCGTCCATCCGTCGTCAACATGTCGGACATTAACTCAAAAAAGCTTTAACTAATATGCATGAAACTTTGGTGAATTGTTTATATCTATTGACGAGTGCTCCCTTTCGTTTTTTATAAATTTCAGATTTACCGTTTCTGAGTTTTGGGGTTTTATTCAAGAATGCTTTCACCAACTTGCAAGAAATTTTGATGAATTGTTCATATTTATTGACATGAGCTCCCTTTTGATTTTTATAAATTTTAGATTTTACGTTTCCGTGTTACAGGGATTTATTCATAAAAAAAGGGTGATTTTCCAGTTTCGGACAATAACTAAAAAATGCTTTCAGCAGTTCTCATGAAACTTTGGTGAATTGTTTATATCTGTTGATGTAAGTTCCCTTTAGAATTTTATAAATTTTAGATTTTACATTTCTGAGTTGTGGGGTTTTATTCATTATAAAAGGGGGGCCTCGGTGGCAGAGTGGTCTAAGTAGTTACTACTGTAATCACTAGCCAGTCAACACTGAGGTTGTGAGTTCGAACCCCGCTCGTGCGGGTGCACTCCACTCCAATCTTAATTGACTAGGATTGTCAGTTTTCCTATCGAAGGTCGGTGGTTTTCTCCGGGCACTCCGGCTTCCTTGACCAATAAAAACTGGCCACCACGAAATAGCCCAAAAGCGGTGCTTAAAAGTGGCGTTAAAACACCAAAAAATCAATAAAAAATCATTATAAAAGGGGGGATTTTCCAGTTTTTGGACAATAACTCAAAAATACTTTCAGCAGTTCTCATGAAACTTTGGTGAATTATTTATAGCTATTGATGTAATCTCCCTATTGATTTTCATAAATTTCAAATATGACATTGAGAAGAAATTGAACTTTATTTGTTTATAGTCTGACAACAGATTTACTAAATATTGCGCAACAGCACAGTGTATTGCACAACAGCAAGAAATCTTTAATTGAATATAAATTCAATTCATATAACCAATTTCAATCTCTTTGACTACATTTATTCAGAAACCTATAATATGTCAAATATTTAATTACAATCCAAATTCAGACCTGTATCAAGCTTGAATATGGTGTCCATTTTTGCCCCAACTGTTCAGGGTTGGACCTCTGCGGGCGTATCCAGCTGCACTCAGCAAAGCAGTTTATTTCTTCATGCTTAAAGATATTGATTTGATATTTGGTGTATTGTTTTATCATGACAAGTTACAGATTAAATTCGAATTTTGTTCCAGTCTGATGATTTTGTGTAGAGTTATGGTCCTTTGAATTAGAAAATTCACTCAAATAATCAGTTTTCCGCACTTTTTTTTTGTTCATTCTTGAAGATATTGATTTGATAATTGGTATATAGTTTTATCATGACAAGTTACAGTTCAAGTTCTAATTATGTTCCCGTCTGATGATTTTGTGCAGAGTTATGGTCCTTGGACCTAGAAAATTCACTCAAATAATCAGTTTTTCCGCATTTTTTTTCGTCATACTTGAAGATATTGATTTGAAAATTGGTATATAGTTTTATCATGATAAGTTATAGATCAAGTTAGATTTTTTTCCAGTTTGATGATTTTGTGCAGAGTTATGTTCCTTGGACTTAAAAAATTCACTTAAATAATCAGTTTTTAACACTTTTTTTCGTCATGCTTGAAGATATTGACTTGATATTTGTTATGTAGTTTACACCAAGACAAGTTATAGATCAAGTTTAGACTTGCTTGTAATTATCTATACCAAATGTTAGACATCAAATATTTGACACAAGACATTTAGCAACCAACAATCTACGAATGTTAAGTCGTCTGATAGAGAAATAGTACTTATAATTTTTTATTAACACACTGGACATCAGTAAAATAGGATTAGAATTCACTATTAAATAGAACTCAGAAATTTCCTGGATTATTCCATATTGGTATTATCTTAGTACGTTTTCTCTTTATGGATTGGATTTTGAGTAAAAAAGAATATTCACCTAGAGAAAAGTGATATTCACTGCGCTGAACGTCACACGTTTTTAACTGTAAAATTGTTGATATACAATTGGTTTTGGTAAATATTTGACATCAAATACATTGTTTTCTCTGGGAAAATGGAATAAAACAATAACTGTCTTTTGTTTCGGTAAATATGTGGTTAAATTGACCTTGAAAAACTGATATTCACTTTGGCTGTCGGCCTCAGTGAATATCAATTTTTCAAAAGTCAATAAAACTGCTTATTCCATATTGGTATAATTTTAGTAGGTTTCTCTATATGAATTGGATTTTGAATAAAACAGCATATTCACCTGGAGAAAAGTGTTATTCATGCGCTAAACGTCGCACGCTTTTACATGCGTCTTTATGGTAAAATGTTTGATGTACAATTGGTTTTTGTAAATATTTGTCATTAAATACATTGTTTTCTCTCAGAATATGGAATAAAACAATTACTGTCTTTTGTTTCGGTAAATATGTGGTTTAATAGACTTTTAAAAACATGATATTCACTTCGGCCATCGGCCTCAGTGAATATCAGTTTTTCAAAAGTCAATAAAACCGCATATTTACCTCATCAAAAGACAGTAATTGTATAATATCCTACTTCCTTTTAAAAGTTGAGAGTTTTTTTACATAAGGTTTTATTTTTCTTAAATAACAGGCATGTGTTATTTAATAAATTTTTTGCAATCCTATTGTTTATTATACTGTAAATCTGACACCAGGAAAGTTGTTAGTATCATAATTTTGTATTTGAATTCCAGGAAAGTGTCAGTAATACAGAAGATGAGGATAGTTATAAAAGAAAGAGGTGGATTCTTTGGACTGTATAGAGGTCTGATGCCTGGCACAATCAGAAGTTTCTTAGCCAATGGAACAAGTATGGTGGTCATGCAGTTTGCTCAAAGGAAAGTGACCGAATTAGGGTTAAGGGATTAAAGATTTAGAATTATTCTGCAAGGTAAAATTGTACAAGGTGTCAGTCAATTAGTTTAGTCAGAGATGCTTTAAAAGCAGAAATTTTCGTTAAATGGTTTGAATTTAGTTTAATATTATGGATAGATAGTATCTTCAAAATTTAACCTGCAACAAAAATTTATGGTATAAAGAATGTTACTTTCTTATCAAAAACTTTAAAAAATCGATTTTACTGACAAAACTATGAAGTTTTAACCCACTGGAAATTAAATGTTTTGATAGTATAAGCAATAAAACTTGTCTTAGCTGTATCCTATAAAAGTGTTTGTTAGTGGTCTAGTTGATGTAGTTGACAATGCTGTATGATGAATATTTTCATAAAAGGTCTAGGGAGATAAAAAGGGCACAGGATGTTTGCGCTTTTTTACCTGTAACACAAAAGGACATTTGCACTCCAAACATTATGGACATTTTCGCTTTAAACTTTGATGCACCTGTACTAAATGGAAAGGACATTTGTGCTTTTATCTTTAAAATCTAAATGAGGTTTAATCATTAAGAAAATTTGTATCAAGTTATATTTGAACCATTCATTGATTTAAAAATGGAAACTACAATCCTCTTGTATTAATTCTATTGCATAGAAAGTCTGAGGAAATATAATGTTATAGTTTATCTAAAATTATTTCAATTTGTGGAGACTAAAGGCTATTTCTATGTATTTGTACATCCCTGGCTTTCAAATATTAAGGTTTGAATGTAACTCCAGAAAAGTACTTCAGACACACCAAATTCATTAAGTGTTATTTTTATGCCCCCGTTGTAGCGATGGGGGCATGAAGTTTTACCCTAGTCCGTCTGTACCTACGTACCTCCGTACGTATGTCCCATTATTGGTTTCTGTTCTCTAACTTGAGCTTGCCTCAACCAAATGTTATGAAACTTATACACAATGCTTATTACCACAAAACACAGATCAAGTTTGAATTTTGGTGGCATCACTAGAACCGTTCTAGAGCTATGCCCCTTTATAAATGGAAAAGTTGCAAAAAATTTTTAGTTTCCATTCTCTAACTTAAGTTTGCCTCAACTAAATGTTATGAAACTTATACACAACGCTTATTACCACAAAACACAGATCAAGTTTGAATTTTGGTGGCGTCACTTAAACCGTTCTAGAGTTATACCCCTTTATAAATGGAAAAATTGCAAAATTTTTAGTTTCCATTCGATAACTTAAGTTTGCCTCAACAACATGTTATGAAACGTTTACACAATGCTTATTACCACGAATCACAGATCAAGTTTGAGTTTTGGTGGCGTCACTTTAACCGTTCTAGAGTTCTACCCCTTTGTAAATGGAAAAATTGCAAAATTTTTAGTTTCCATTCGATAACTTAAGTTTGCCTCAACAACATGTTATGAAACGTTTACACAATGCTTATTACCACGAATCACAGATCAAGTTTGAGTTTTGGTGGCGTCACTTTAACCGTTCTAGAGTTCTACCCCTTTGTAAATGGAAAAATTGCAAAAAATTAATTTTCTTCTAAATAGCAAGTAATTTTTAAAATTGGAGTTATCTTCCTTTGTCCATGATTATAGTTGAATCAACTACAATCAATGCTTTATACAATGCAATGTTTAATTTTGACTTCCACTGATAAAACACAGATCAAGTTGATTTAGGGTAGTGTCAATTTAACCATTATTGAGTTATGCCCCTTTATATATCGAAAGATTGCAAAATTTTTAGTTTCCATTCTGTAACTTAAGTTTGCCCCAACCAAACATTATGAAACCTATACACAATATTCATTACCACAAAACTTAGATCAAGTACAAAATTTTTGTTTCCATTTTGCAACTTTAGTTTGCCTCAAACAAATGTTATGAAACTTATACACAATGCTTGTTACTACATAATACAGATTAAATATGAAATTTGGTGGAGACACTTTTACCATTCTTGAGTTATATCCCTTTATAAACATAAAAATTGCTGAATTTTTCGTTTCTGTTCTCTAACTTTAGTTTGTCTCAACCAAATGTTATAAAACTTATACACATTGTCTAGAGTTATGCGTGTTTTCAAATAGAAAAATTGCTGAATTTTTAGTTTCTGTTCTCTACTTAAGTTAGCCTCAACCAAATGTTATGAGACTAACACACTGCTTATTATCACAAAATTTTTGGGTAGTGTCACTTTTACCGTTCTTCAGTTATGTCCCTTTATAACTATATGATATGCAAGCGGATGCATCATCTGTGTCCACATGTGGACACTATTCACATTTATTTTTGGTTATAGTGACTTTGAAGAAAGAATCATATTCGATGAAGTGTTGTCATTTTCCTCTGACAATCATGGTGGTGAAAGATTCAGTCATTAGGACCCTCTTTAGGAATACAAATTGTACATGTGGAGTAGGAAAATCGTTACATAAATTCCTTCGAGCCCGGGTAAATTAGAAGGGAAATCATAAAGCACCAAGGATAAAATGATATGTTGATGAAGCGCAAATGTCCTGTTAGAAGAAGCTCAAATGTCCTCAAATTGAAGCACAAATTTCCAATAAAAAAGGCGCAAACATCCTACGCTGGATAAAGAAATAGCTTATTACTTTAGTTAGGATTAGTTTGGATAAAAGACATCTGAATGATAGACACCCTGTTTATTTCCTTGATAGAATAGTTGTATAGAACTTATTACAAGTCTTTCAATTTTTATTTTACGAAGAACTCAGGATGCTGTTGTATTATATTGTATATATAGCTACAAATTTTATTGTGAACTGACATGGCAGCTACATTGTGATATGATACTCAAGAACAATTATGTCAATTTCTTTTTAGCTTTATGTGCTTGTGCAGGTGTAATGAAATCTTAGGCATTTTCTTTTTTATTTTAATTAAAATAATTTCCACTTGAAAATATTTTATCTTAATGTCTTTCTACATGTAATGAATACCTTTTCATATAGATGATGAGAGCAACATTGAGTAATGTCAGAATCACAGTAAATTCAGAAATTTTTGTGTGCAATTATTATATTGATTGTTGAATAATGGACAAAAATGTGGAATAACTTATTGTGATTTCAGATAATATACCATACAAATAATGGTAACAAGTGTAAATAGTCAAGTATTTATTTTTGAGAAACCTATTCCATAGCCATTTTTGGCAATAATAAAAACATTGCAAAACTTTCTGAATTTACAGTACCGTAATAATGTCATTTCAATAAGTTAGTTGATATCTGTTGTTTACTAGTCAGTCTGTTGTAGTTTATAAGTGTCCTGTTGCATGTATAATTTTTTTTTTTCAAAGTCGAAAGAAACTGCACCACTTATCAATTTCCAGCTTTAGATTCTCAAAGAATGAAATTTAGTGTATTAGTTTGTTTCTAAGAATCTTGTTTTTAGCTCACCTGACCCTAATGTCCAGTGTGAGCTTTTGCCATCACTTGGCATCCGTCGCCTGTCGTCCATCGTCATCCTCACCTGTTAACTTTCACAAAGACCATCTCCTCTGAAACTACAGGGCAATATTTGACGAAACTTGGCCACAATCATCAATGGGGTATCTAGTTTTTAAAATGTTTCCAGTGACCCATGCCTGCCGACAAACATGGCCATCATGGCTATAAATAGAACATAAGGGTAAAATACACTTGTTGTCTATAATCTTGAAAACCGCTATAGATAGATAAAATGTGAGGGAAGCAAAAATGTTCAAAATGATGATATCTACCTAATGACTATGACATCAAAACTGTAGGACAATTTCTAATAGGAGTTATTGCACTCAAACGACAAATTTCACCATTTTTATTTCATTTCTGCCTGTTATCTTGAAAATTATAATAGATAGAGAGAAACTTGAAAAAGCAAAAATGATCAGCAAGACAAGATCTACATATAAGTTATAAGTCAAATGATCAAAATCATCAGTCAACAGTCACTTTTACCTTTCTAGAGTTATGCCCCTTTAAATGGAAATTTTTTTTTTAATTTTTCGTTTCCGTTCTCTAACTTAAGTTTTTTTTGGGGTTCGTACTACATGTATGCATGCTTTTTCAATGGAAATTGTGAGGTCACAATGCATTCTTAATAATAGCACGAAAACCTATGAGACAAGGATACATTTGTAAATTATTATTATCTACTGTTGATTGTAATTTAGAATGTTGATTAGATATAATTATGACGTCTTTGATCTCACTGATTGTTGAACTTATTGTCTTTGGTGGTTTGATAATAGAAATACCATTTCAAACATGTGATTCTTCTGGCGGGAGTCAAAATCTTCCGATTTTTAAGCCCTCTTCCGTACTTCCTGTTGATAATTCAAATCTTCCGTTTTTTCAAAATTTCAACCCCAAAAAAAATTGTCAGTCTCTACTTTTTATTACCATCGATGTCAACATAAATTACGTTTGTGTGTCACTAATGAAGGTAATTTTTACCTGTAAATCAAAGAACTAGTATGTCAAACATACCATTAATCAATGATTTTTACCTCAGGCTAACTGCTGTTATGTAATATAAGTTGTGTGTATTTGAAAACACTTCAGAAAGACAAGATCTCAAAATAAGCCATAATGGCCAAAATCTTCAGTCGATTCGTAATTGAAGCCTTTTTATTTACCATTGTTTTGCCATTTTTGTCTATTATCATGAAAACTATAATAGATAAATAGAAACTTTAAAAAGGAAATATGATCAGCAGGATAAGATCTACAAATACATCAACAGGACTGAAATTGTCAGTTAGTTTTTAATAGAGTTATTCTCCATTAATGATGATTTTTATTAAAAAGTGGCTATTGTCAAAGATGTAGGTCAGCGACACAGGATCTTTAGAGCCTCTAGCTTTAATTGGGGAAAGTTAAAGGAAGATCAGAGGTATGAGAAAATTTAGATTTTTTAAAATGAATTTTACTCAAAGAATACAGTACAATTTTCTAAACATAAATAAAACCTACCATTGTCTTGTGTTTTGTTTTGAATAAATGCTTTTATATACATTTTTTTTTCGTTGATTTATACACTGTTGACTAGTATGTATGCTTTTTGGCAACATTTTATACATATCACATGTTTTTTGTGATTAACAAATGGTGCATACTTATTGCATTTATTGTTTTATTAGTTACAAGAATATAATTGATATTGTTATACTGTTGTATGTCTGTAATTGTGTGAAATTGTGTGATTTCGCCTTAAACTGCCATGATACTCCCAGAAATCATTTAAATGTTCTTTGTAAAATCAAACCTTTTGGATGTCAATTTGAAACATTTTGCACATGGGAAGCGAAAATATATCTTTGACGCTGATGAAATTTTTTATTTTGGCCCAAATAATCTGCTGATTGCTGTAAATGCAAAATGCTTATTTGAAGTCATTTCTGAAATATATATTCCAGTTATTGTGACTCTGGCATGACTATTTATATACATGATGTATAGAATGATTATATGTATTTATTGAAAACTTTTGGAGAAACTCCAGCATAATAGTATTAATCTGAGATTATTTTTTTAAGATCTGTATTTATACATGTATATATGTGCTATCTTTTTAAATCATATTGGGAATACCCAATAGGGACAATCATGTATGTATCATTGGTACTTATCATATGCCTTATAATTGTATACGATATATCTCACTAATAGAATTATATCGACATTTTTATGCCCCCGCCGTAGCGGAGGGGCATTAAGTTTTACCCTTGTCTGTACGTACGTCCGTACGTCCCAAAATTGGTTTCTGTTCTCTAACTTGAGTTTGCCTCAACCAAATGTTATGAAACTTATACACAATGCTTATTATTAAAAAACACAGATCTAGTTTGAATTTTGTTGGCATCACTTTAACTGTTCTAGAGTTATGCCCCTTTTAAATGGAAAAATTGCAAAATTTTGAGTTTCCGTTCTCTAACTTAAGTTTGCCTCAACCAAATGTTATGAAACTTATACACAATGCTTATTACCACAAAACACAGATCAGGTTTGAATTTTGGTGGTGTCACTTTAACCGTTCTAGAGTTATGCCCCTTTATAAATGGAAAAATTGCAAAATTTTTAGTTTCCGTTCTCTAACTTAAGTTTGCCTCAACCAAATGTTATGAAACTTAACCACAAAACACAGAGCAAGTTTGAATTTTGGTGGCGTCACTTTAACCATTCTAGTTTGTACATTTGTACAAGTTTGTCATCTAGTATATTGTAATTATAAGTCAATTCATTTTACTTAATGTATCACCTTTGGTTGTAAAATTGACTATTGAAATGTATAAGGATCATGTTGAAAGGCCTTATGGTGACCTATATTTACTTACATCTATGTCATTTGGTCTCTGGTGGATAGTTGTCTCAGTGGCTATCGTACCCCATCTTCTTATTTTCAAATGGGACCAAAAATTTTAATAAAGCCAAAGTTTTAATGTAGCTGTTTAAATTACTATTTGAATGTATTAGGAACATTGAACAAACAATTTAATAAACCTAATTTTTGTTTAAATACAATCAGAACAAATACATTCTCAAATATGTGGTCTAAATCTATTTATTGTCCCCATAGATATACCAGGCATCTGTTTGTGTTTCTGTTCATCTTGTAAGGACTCTTGCACATGCAGTTCCTTCCAGATTTCTGTGAACCTTATATCAGAGGTTTATATTTAATAGCAGTGTCCAAGACAAATTAAAAAATCAGTGGGGAACAACTGTTTTAAAAGGAGTTATTCGACCCTTGGAATGTCTGCTCATTCATTCATCTGAACCAAAATATAAATATTAGAGTTATTGCCCCATGACATATAAAATATTTGCATGGGCAAGGGACATTAAAATGATATTGGACATGTTAAGTTCCCATTTTCAATAATTTGCTGAGATTAACCATGCTGTTTTGAAGAGCATAGAACCACAATGATGTAAAAACTATGGAGTAATTAAATGTTTGAAAAGAACTGAAATTTCAGATAATTTCCTAGTATGGAAATAGGGATTTTCACTTAGAGAAGGAGCATCTCAAATTACTCTTCAGGTGTTGCTAAATTGGAGAAAACTGAAGCTCACGTGGTACCCCAAAATTTGACCACAAATGGGAAAATGTCTCGGCTTTAAAACGAGCATCATATATATCCAATAGTATTATATGGATAGAGGAATTTTTTAAGGCGCATAAAATGAATTGCACTTACTGACCCAAATGTGTCTAAATGTTTACATAGTAATACATTGTGATCATGAGGCATTACATTTGAAGCTAAATTACCTTGATTAAATATGACAATCTTGGATAAAGTAAAAAGTAATTATTTCAGTATTATGGTAATTATTACCTACATTGCGTGCTTGTGCTAATTATACGACCGCAAAAAAATTTTGCGGTCGTATATTGGTATGACGTCGTCGTCCGAAGACACATTGGTTTTCGCACTCTAACTTAAGTTTAAGTGAATGGATCCTTATGAAATTTTCCCATAAGGTTCAATACCACAAAAGGAAGGTTGGGAGTGATTTTGGGGGTTATGATACCAACAGTTAAGGAATTAGGGGCCAAAAAGGGGCCAAAAATAAGCATTTTTGTAACTTCCAGACATAACTTGTGTCTAAGTGTATGGATCTCTCTGACATTGTACCACAAGGTTCCATATCACAAAGGGAATGCTTGGATTGATTTTGGGGGTAATTGCCTCAAAATTTTAGGAATTAGGGGCCAAAAAAGGGGCAAAAAAACAAGCATTTTTCTAGTTTCATGACAATAACTTGTGTGTTAGTCTATGGATCTTTCTGAAATTGTACTACAAGGTTCCATATCACAAAGGGAAAGCTGGAATTGAGTTTGGGAGTAATTTCCCAAAACGTTTAGGAATAAGGGGCCAAAAACAAGCATTTTTCTAGTTTCATGACAATAACTTGTGTTCAAGTGTATGGATCTCTCTGAAATTGTACTACAAGGTACCATACCACAAAAGGAAGTCTGGGATTGATTTTGGGGGTAATTGCCTCAAAATTTTAGGAATTAGGGGCCAAAAAGGGGCAAAAAACAAGCATTTTTCTAGTTTCAGGACAATAACTTGTGTGTAAGTGTATGGATCTTTATGAAATTGTACTACAAGGTTCCATATCACAAAGGGAAAGCTGGGTTTGTGTTTGGGGGTAATTGCCCTAAATGTTTAGGAATTGAGGGCCAAAGAGGGGCCAAAAAACAAGCATTTTTTAGTTTCAGACAATAGCTTGTGTTCAAGTGTATGGATCTCTCTGAAATTGTACTGCAAGGTACTATACCACAAAGGGAAGGCTGGGATTGAGTTTGGGGGTGATGAATCATAAGGGGGTTCAAAAATTTTTAAGTTCTTAGACCACATTTATTCTGTGTCAGAAACCTATGTTGTGTCAAATATTTAATCATAATCCAAATTCAGTGCTGTATCAAGCTTGAATGCTGTGTCCATACTTGCCCTAACTGTTCAGGGTTCGACCTCTGCGGTCGTATCAAGCTGCGCCCAGCTGAGCATTTTATTATAGCAAAAATGTTCAATTTTTTTTTAAATAGTATACAAAATATATTTTACTATATATATATATATATCGTAGAGTTGTCACTTGTTTAGACGTACTTATCATATAATTATTTCTGTGTATATATATATAAATAATGTATTTCATTATAATTTGTTCATGTTGCAGCTCCTCCTGTAGTTCTCATTAGGTTTGGGCATTAGTATATTGTAGACACATCATCTACCAAATTGAACTCAAAACAAAAATTACAGTCAAACCTGCCTAGCAACAAACCTCAAAGAGTTGTTGCAAGAGTTCCTAATAAAAGTACAGAGAGTGCAATACTTTCCCTACATGAGAGCAGGGCATAACCTTGAGGTATTATATTTATACATCCCAAAAAGATGTCCCTCTTTTGCATGGGCACTGCTGAATGGGAGAATACCAGGTGACCATATTTGTATTTACCTGTCAACCCAAATTAATCAGTCAAATTGCAGAACATAAATTTGTACTTGTTGTAATAAAATCAATCTAAAACTTTACAAAATTTACAGAAATGTAATATGGCTATTAAAACAGTACTAATGATTTCTATCATAATTTTTGTCCCTCCTTTTAAAATTATAATAATCCCAAAGTGAAGTGATAATGATATTTGAAATAAGTTTTAAAGGACAAGATATTAAATAAAATCATTGATAGGAATATACGTAGTGTGGTTGTCTCTTGACACATGGGGAACAAGTTTACCCTTAATATCAAGGTTATTTAAGAAAGGATGTCTCAAAACATTGGAATAATTGTGTACAGAGATTTCCTAGAAATTACTGCTGCTGCTTAGGAACATACTTTATTGTCGAGCCTGCAACATTTATGTCTCTAAAGCGAGATATAGCGATCCTAGATTCCGTCGTCAGTGGCGTCAACATTTAGGCTTTGTCTGTGGTTAAAGTTTTTTTAGATATCAATAACTTTGTCAAACTTTCTGAGTTTCATGGAAATTTCTGAAATTTGGACAGAAGCTTGTTTATGACCTAAAACAGTATTCAGAGCAAAATTTAGAAAATATTTATTTTCGTTTCTGCGTATTTTACTGATAAATGGACTTAGTTACTTTTACAATTATCAAGTAGATAGTTTCTTTTACAATTATCAAGTAGATAAAGTCTGGGGTTAAGGTTTGTTACATATCAATTACTTTGTCAACCATCATACAATTTTATGAAACTTTGGCAGAAGCTTTTTTATGATTAATAGATAATGTCTGAAGCAAACTTTTGAAAATACGTTTTTTTTTCATTTTCAGTATTTTTCTGATAGATGAACTTAGTTTTTTACATTTAACATTTACAGACAGTCTGGGATTGATTTATTTTGACATGATAAATTTGTAAACCTTCATTGATTTTTATGACTTGGACAGGCGCCAATCTTCAAGACCAAGAAATTGCACCTAAAAAAAAAGTTTTTTAAATTCTGTATTTTACTGATAAATTGACTCACTTTTTAGGTCAGCATTACACTTTTACACTGACAGTAGCCATCATTTGCGAGACACAGGGTTCCATGAAACTCCTTACAAATTTTTGATATTAAAACAATATTAAATTTAATTCTTCTAAAAAATTTAGTATGTTTTTCTTTGAGGTACAAATGGGGTAACTGCTTTCCTGATTATAAAAAAGGACCAAGTAGATCAGTTTAGAAATAGTACACAATTTACTATGCTGACTAATAACAATGATTGCTACAAATTCTTACATATGGAAATCTATTTGTTTGTATATAGTGAAATGGATTTATCAAATTAAACCACAAGTGGTAAAAATATTATTCATAGATCTTCCTTTTGAATATACTTTGAACATTCAAATCAACTTCAACAATACAAGTCCATATCCAAAATCGGTATTTGTTTTAAGCGAAAACTTTGTTTTCACCATGTGGAATTTTTAAAGGGACTGGTGTATTTATTATATATGCTAAATTTGTATCTTATTTTTTTTTTTTATATTATGCATTTTTTTCTTTTCAGAATTTTGTAAAGTTTTATTATTTAACTCTTTTTTCCATATATATTTTAAATTTTGCACTTTTTAAGAGAGTTCAAAGTTTTTATTGTATAAATTTAATTCTGTAAAGCTCCAAATATTTTATAGAGACAGTACAAATATACATTACCATAATATTTGATTTATTTATGTTTTTATGTATTTTATAAACTCCTTTATTGGTCAAAATACAAAGTTTACAAAGTCTTTTTATTACTTATAATATTGTTAAGGAGATAATGAAAATAATAAAATATTCAAGACTATTTGCTAGTTTTATGAGTCAACGTGAAGTTTTGACGACTATGCTTTTTTATAGGTGTAAAACCATTAAGATTACATTTATTTTCGAAATACAAGTTTTTGATAAATTGCATGGTATATACATGTACCTGTATAAGTATTTTACAGGTTCATCAGTTATTTACAGATCAAGTTTTTCTTTCCTTGTTGTAGTATAAGTCAGGTTGTTGGTTTACTTTTTGAAGTGTGTCACATTTTGTCATAATGGGGCCTTTTATAGATTTCTATATGATTTAGGTTTTGCTCATTGTTGAAGGCTGTACTATGGCATGTAATTGATCATATGTTTGTTCTTTGGTTTTGATCTTTTGTGGACAATTGTTGTATTTTTCTCAGCAACTGCAAATTATAGCTTCTTGATATTTGATACCAAGTTAAATATTGGTACACTAAGCTGAGTGCTGATCTACTTTCTTTAGTCAGCTTCCTCACTGTTTGGTTTGTGTATTTCCTATCACTAGAAAACAAGATCTAAGGTATGAATCAGAGCAGTAGTGCATGCTATATCTTGTTTGATGGAATTTTTAGCCATAGTTCAAAAAGGAGATTTGGGTTGATCATTTCAATTAAGAATATCCTCCTGAATATTTCTTTTCTGCAGGACCTTAACTTAACTGTCTTCTACAATATTGATTTTATTCTTTCAACAATTTCAATATCTATACAACAGATATAACTTGGGCTCCTGGTGCGAATGTTTATTAAAAGTGTCCATACAATGATTCACCTCTTTTGTTTTCCTTTTGATAAATATTACTTAGCTTTAGGCCTTGTCTCTGTCAATAAGTTTGTTTTTTTTTTTACCTTTTGTTGAATTAATTAAAATTGAAAAAGAATAACAGGAATTACCTTAAATATTGAACAGTAAAACAGAAACCAACAACCACCTACCAACTCTGATGAAAATATATAGAAGTCCAAACAACATCAAACACATGCTCAGGACAGCTTGACTTATAAAAAGTATCCAATTTGGTGGAGGTTGAACAGTTTTACATGTGAACAAACACCCCGCCCCAACCCCCTTTTTGCACATCTAGACCATATGTTTTAAAGTAAAAATCTTAATAAAGAAACTTATATGTACTGTAGTTTACACAATGTCCTAGATAGCCAAAAATAGAGGAGGTTAGCTTCCCTCTGCCATTAAAGTACTGTCCCAAGCTGTTTTTGTTTTATGGTGGAAATGAAATTCTTATCAATATAAAAAAAAAAATTTTAACTTCTGGAAAAAGCTCTTGTTAATCCCAAATTCTATTCATCCAGCAAAAATACATAAATTTCCATCTTTTATGTATAGACATGAACCAGTTGTCCCTTTTCAGATAAGAAACTGTGTCAACCTGTCCTTCATCTTAGAAGTCTGTCCCTCTTCCTTATTTCTGTACCTTTCTAGTATATATATATATAGATCACGTAAAAAAAAATTGTGGTTTTTATCCAATGCAATCATAGGTTTGAACGTTGTTTTCAATTTAGACTTGTATATATATATATACACAAGTCTAAATTGAAAACAACGTTTAAACCTATGATTGCATTGGATAAAAACTGCAATTTTACAAGTCTAAATTAAAAACAACGTTCAAACCTATGATTGCTTTGGATAAAAACCACAATTTTTATACGTGTGCATGCAAAACAAATTTCTTGGTAGAGGGGTCTAAATACAGCACAAACAACCTTTTCCAAAAGACCAAAAAAGTGAAAAAGTATATTTTAACAAAACGCATTTGACTAGCAGGTCGAACGGATGTTCTGAAACCCTGCTGACTGCCATGGCGATTGCCAAATAAACGGATATTTATATAGTATAAAAATGAGCTGTGGTGTGATTGCCAATGAGACAACTATTATAGGCCAAAGGACAAGGATGTGAACAACTTAGTTATGCTATAGCCTTCAACAATGAGCAGAACTCATACTGCATAGTAAGCAATAAAGAAGGCCTGAAGATGACAGAATGTGACAAAAATTAAAGAGAGAAAACAGAAGATCTTGTTTTTTCTAAAAGCAATTATGACAGACAGTTATTGATGACAACCACATAATTACAGGCTCCTGACTTGGGACAAAATGTGGATGTGTAACAGTACAGTAATGTAGAAAAAACTAAAAATATTTTTCATTTACTCAAGGGCAGAAGAAAATGTACCGACCAAAGAGTTCTTGGTGTGATTAAAACTAGTTCAGCCCAATATGACTATGTTTTCATAGACTAAGATATCAATCTAATATGGCATTAAAAAAGTATCAATTAATACAATAAATTCATTTATTTTCAGGTATACAAATTTTCATGAATTTATCAAATTCTGCATACAAGACCATAGAAAATTTGTATTTTGATGAACATTATAATGTATGGTTAACCTTGACCAACGAAATCGACCATAAATTGTACCCCAAAATAAATATTATGAGTTCACAGTACTGTATGGTTTGCCAATTTCAGTGTTGCCCATAGTCATGGGCTTCTTTGTTTAATTCATATATGTTTGTCTCACTCAGATAGACAGTATTGTTTAATGAATGAAATATTGGCTTCACACCACAACTAATCCCCTTCTCAAGTAATAAAGGGGATAGTTCTTCTGGATTTTGCTTGCTACTGTTTTCAGTGAAAAGTTGACTAATTTTTAAGTGGTTCTATTAAAGTTGCATATATAATGATAAGAGTAAAAGTTGTGGGAAAAATTAATTGTTGAAAGTGAAAGTTGTGATTTTGCAAAAATGAAAGTAAGTTAGAAATTAGCCTTTGGCAGTTATTAAAGACTCAACTCATACCCTTTGCATGTTTTCAGGGCTCTCAAGAGAGAAATTAGTACTGGAAAAAGGATGTTTCATTAGAATAATAATGGTCTATATTAAAGCAGTTGAATGTATTTCATGTTTGAACCGGTGCACATTTTAAAATTCAGTTGAAAGGCATTGTGGCCAATGGTAAACATAATAGTGGTCTGAGGCCTATAGATGATAATTAAAAAGGATGAAATGAATGATCAAAATAATATACATGCTGTAATGGACCAACCGACTGACTATATCAAACAAAGATAACAAGTAACACTGAACAACATATGATTCAGATAGCATGCCTTAGTACAGGTATAATATGTTTACAGCATAAAACTTTACTCTCATATAAACAAAATAGTTTATTTAACAAATACATAGTTTGAGTGTCTTTTGTAGTAAACATTTCTCTATAGATCAGCGGTGGATGTAGATATCTTTACTTTCACGTTCCTGTTCACTGGATGGATAGTAGCTCAACATCAAATACAAGTATTGATTTTGGTGGTATAGTTGTAATAACAGTTAAGGAATATTTGACATAAGTACAATTGTATATTCTCTTTTCAAATCTAAAGGGAACGTATACAGTTTAAACATGGAAATTTGTTTTCGTTCATTGTCAATTGAAACTCTAATAATTTTATTGTCATTAAGGGTGAATTTTACAAGCTTCATAAATTTTCAAAAATCCCCTATAACACGTTGGACTAAAATGCTTATAATATTACCTTTTATCAGTTCGCTTTTTATAATCGTTAGTTTCAGAATAATAAACAGGCCAAGGTGCTAGAAGAAATGAATCGGACAGTTATCAGAAAGATAAAACAGAACAAGTATTTAGCAATCGAATCAGACAACTGCCTGAAGGATAGAACCACAAGGAATGAATCAGACAATTACCCGAAGAACAGAACAATCAGGAATAAATCAGACAACTAACCGAAGGATAGAATTTAACCACAAGGAATGAATCAGACAACTACCTGTAGGATAGAACCATTAGGGATGAATCAGAAAACTACCTGTAGGATAGAACCATAAGGAATGAATCAGACCAATACCAGTAGGATAGAACCATCAGGAATGAATCAGGCAATTATCCGAAGGATAGAACCATCAGGAATGAATCAGACAATTACCCGAAGATTAGAACCACAAGGAATGAATCAGACAACTACCTGTAGGATAGAACCATAGAAAATGAATCAGACAACTACCCGAAGGATAGAACCATATAAAGGACTTAATCAGAAAATTACCCGAAAGACAGACCTATAACTTATAAGTAATGAATCAGACAATTACTTGGTGGATAGAACCATAACAAAATGAATCAGACCACTACCTGAAGGATAAAACCATAAGAAAAGAATCAGACAACTCCCAAAAGGATAGAACCATCAGGAATGAATCAGACAATTACCTGAAGGATAGAACCACAAGGAATGAATACGATCACTACCTGAAGGATTGAACCATCAGGAATGAATCGGACATCTATCCGAAGGATAGTACCATAAGGAATGAATCAGACAACAACCTGAAGGATAGAACCATCAGGAATGAATCAGACAACCATCCGAAGGATAGTACCATAATGAATGAATCAGATAACTACCTGAAGGATAGAACCATCAGGAATGAATCAGACAACTATCCGAAGGATAGTAACATAAGAAATGAATCAGACAACTACCTGTAGGATAGAACCATAAGGAATGAATCAGACCAATACCAGTAGGATAGAACCATCAGGAATGAATCGGACAACTATCCGAAGGATAGTACCATAAGGAATGAATCAGACAACAACCTGAAGGATAGAACCATCAGGAATGAATCAGACAACCATCCGAAGGATAGTACCATAAGGAATGAATCAGACAACTACCTGAAGGATAGAACCATCAGGAATGAATCAGACAACTATCCGAAGGATAGTAACATAAGAAATGAATCAGACAACTACCTGTAGGATAGAACCATAAGGAATGAATCAGACCAATACCAGTAGGATAGAACCATCAGGAATGAATCGGACAACTATCCGAAGGATAGTACCATAAGGAATGAATCAGACAACAACCTGAAGGATAGAACCATCAGGAATGAATCAGACAACTATCCGATGGATAGTACCATAAGGAATGAATCAGACAACTACCTGAAGGATAGAACCATCAGGAATGAATCAGACAATTATCCGAAGGATAGTACCATAAGAAATGAATCGGACAACTACCTGAAGGATAGAACCATTAGGGATGAATCGGACAACTACCTGTAGGATAGAACCATAAGGGATGAATCAGACAACTACCTGTAGGATAGAATCATAAGGAATGAATCAGACCAATACCCGAAGGATAGAACTAGTCGTTAGTATTTTGTAATTAAAAAAGGATATCCTTTTATTCCCTGTTCTCCGTATGCATATTCAGGTCCAACTGTAAACCTTGCTTTTTGTCCTAGTGTCAACTATAAAATAAAAGTAAACGTTAAAAATGTACTAGCTTAGTTATAACCAATATTCAACACTACATTTTCCACGTCTTCTATATTTTTATTGATATTGTTATATGAACTAAAACAATCAGTTTTTTTTTATCACAGGCGATATATCATAAGATTATGTACAAGATGTGAAAGATATTATTTCGTACAAATTGCTTTAAATGAATAAAAATCGTGATCTCAAATATCAAACAAAATAAAGTTAACTAGGAACGCCACAGCTGTCTTATGGGGTACTCTGATATTACGTTATGTTGTATTATTATTACTTGATGATATTTTGTCTTTACATAATATGGTTTTGACATTACGTAATGATATTTTGTCTTTACATAATATGGTTTTGACATTACGTAATGATATTTTGATATTACTCAACGCTCAATATGGAAGTCATTACATGATATGGTTTCGTATGGACTTGATATAGTTTTGTCATTACTCTATGTGTTTCCATCATTATTTAATGTGGTTGTGTTATTAGGCAATGTGGTTTTAACATTACTTGATGTGTATGTGGCATAACGTAATGTAGTTGTTTCATTACATGGTTTGGTTTTGTTATTTCGTAATGATGATTTGCCAATTCCTTACATGGCTTTAAAATTACTTAATGATGTTTCAAAATTTGACGATTTTAAACAACATGATGTGTTCGTTCCAGTATTTGATGTGGTACTGTCATTCTTGTTATCACATTACTTGATGAGGTAAAACCACGTGACTATTTGGGAAAAACTAGTTCTATATTTAAATCCGATTTCCATATTTTATTTGCCTCGGATGAGTGTGGCAATCCATCGAGTTAGAGTTCAAATTAAAGTTCGGGTTACTGTTCGAATTATACTTCGAGTTAGTCTTCGATTTAAACTTCGAGTAATTTGCGATTTCGAGTTAGAATTCAAGTCATAATTAGAACTAAATTTCGAGTTAGCATTGAGTTTCGAATTGAACTTCGAGTTTGAGTTACCTTTTGAGGTAGAATTCGAGTTAGACTTCGAATTTGAGTCTCATTTAGATTAAGATTTCGAGTTGAACTGGAGTTATCTAATATGAGTTCATATTTAAATTTTCTATCGCGGATCAAGGGATTTGCTAGGGCTTCCGAAAGAAAGGGTTAAGGGGTATGCGTACAAACGATAAACCATGTTACATGTAGTATACAAAACACCACATAGAAATCGAAATAATGTTAAATGTGGTGTGATTGCCAATGAGACAACTATCCACCAGAGTTTAAGATTCAGTGGATGTAAGCAATTATAGGCACCCGTAACTAATAACTAAACAACTTACGAAAAACAAATATGACACACATGAAACAACGACAACCATGGAATTACAGGCTCCTGACTTGGGACAGGCACATACAGAATGTGCACGTGGCGGAGTTAAACATGTCTGTGAGCGCTAAACCCTCACCTTACCATGGGTGAATAGTGTAACAGCACAACACAAGAATAAACTGTAATGAACAGCTGTGCTTTCAAAGAATAAAGTTCAATAACTTCTCAATGTTATATCAGAAATTTATGAAAAACTGAAGGGAGGTTATCTTAACAGATATAAACCAGTCACCAAAACACTTTGAAGATATTGTCCGAACACTGGAAAATCACCCTTTTTTATGAACAATATCCCATAACTCGGAAATTTAAAATCTAAAATTTATAAAAATTGAAAGGGAGCTTGCGTCAATAGATATAAACAATTCACCAAAGTTTCATGAAAACTTCTGAAAGCATTTTTAAGTTATTGTCCGAACACTGGAAAAATCCCCTTTTTTAATGAATAAACCCCATAACTCGGAAACGTAAAATCTAAAATTTATAAAAAACGAAAGGGAGCTCACGTCAATAGATATAAACACTTCACCAAAGTTTCATGCAAATTCGTTAAAGCGTTTTTGAGTTAATGTCCGACATTTTGACGACGGACGGACAAAAGGACGAACGGACAGACGGACGGACGGACGGACAAAGGTATACCATAACACGTCCCGTAAACGGGCGTATAAAAATCAGATGCAATTGGCTTAACTCTATAGATCGGTATGACTGGGCAATATAAATCCATCAAAATCCTGGGGTGATCTCGGGTGCTCCGGAAGAGTAAGCAGATCCTGCTCAACGTGTGGCACCCGTCGTATTATTCGTGAAAGTACAAACTCAGTGATTTGGTCTAATTCGGTAGGTCACATTCGACGAAAGAGGACGGGATTGTGGTTACGACAACTGGAACATATCCGTCGTCACCTGTGAAACAGATATTCCGAAAAGTTTTTTTTTCAATTTAGTGCGAAGAATATATCAGAGAATGGAATTTATAATAATATATATTAAAAGATTGATATTCGTATATATTCAAATGATAATACACGCTAAAAAAATCGGAGAATTCTTATTTTATAGAATTTATGCTTTGTCGCTTAGTCCGATCCCCCCATTTCCCTGTAACTTTAGTGTGAGTTGTTTTTAAGTGTCTCATTTGTTGACAATAAAGTACAAATCATTTGATGTGTGTCCAGCCTGCGATATTAATGTCGTGGAAGTGAGACACAACAAACCTATATTCCGTCGTCGGCGTCTTCGTCATTTAGATCGTTATAGGTTACTCGTTTGATTGTTTTTACATATGTCATTTCTGGACCTGTTATAGCTTACTATGCGGTATGGGTTTTGCTCATTGTTCAAGACCATACAGTGACATATAGTTGTTAACTGCTATGTTATTTGGTATGTGGTGGAGAGTTGTCTCATTGGCAATCATACCACATCTTCTTATTTTTATATAAGTTTTATTTGCAATAAATATTACCAAATTAAACTATTTTGTCATGATAAATTTTTAAACCTCCATGAATTGTTATAAAACTTGTATAGGAGTTAATCTTCTATATCGAGATAAAGCATGTACAGAAAAACAACTTTTTGAATTTTGTTTTTTTACCGATAAATGGACGTTTTACAGTCAACATTACACTTTTACAATGACAGCAGCAATCTCGGGCGAGACACATGGTTCCGTGGAATTCTTCACGAATTTATTGTTATACTGCTTCCATTTGAGAACTTAGGGGAAAAACGGCAGGACCAATTAAGTGGTTTGGGGATATCCCCCTTATGTCCGAAATATTCGGATATTTTTGTTTGGTACTTTTTTTCTTATTTTTGTCTGCCGTTCCCCTTTTTCATACCAAATAACTCTGAACAACAACTCGAACTTTAATTTGAACTTTAACTCAATGGATAGCGGCACTCATCCGAAGCACATTAAACAAACGACATATGGAAATCGGGCTAAAAATAGAACTATTTTTTTCCAAAATGGTCACGTGGCTTTACCTCATCAAGTAATGTGATAACCACATCAAAGAAATTGATGACAGGACCACATCAAATACAGGAACAAACATATCATGTTGTGTAAAATCGTCAGATTTTGAACCATCATTATGTAATGTTCAAGCCATATGAAGAATTGTCAAATCATCATTACGATATCGAAATAACAAAACCACATCATGTAATGAAACAAATACATAACGTTAAGCCACATACATATCAAGTAATGTTAAAACCACATTGCCTTATGGCACAACCACATTAAATAATGATGAAATCACATCGAGTTATGACAAAACCATATTAAGTAATGAAAAAACCATATCAAGTCAATACGAAACCATATCACGTAAAATAGAAATATCATTAAGTAATGACTATTCCATATTGAGTTAATACATCATTACGTAATGTCAAAACCATATTATGTAAAGACAAAATATCATCAAGTAATAATAAAATAACATAACGTAATATCAGCAGAGTACATCATAAGACAGCTGTGGCGTTCCATAGTATAGTTGACAGAGATTTTTGTTAAATACGGAATCATAAGCTCTTTTATCGTCAATGCCCCAAAACGTGAATACCGTATTATGTTTACTTATCAAATCTACTCATCTATGCTTAATTACAGCCACCGATATTACATTTTAGCATAAATTTGAATGTTATTGTTTTGTTTATACTTAAAATTGAGAATGGAAATGGGGAATGTGTCAAAGAGACAACAACCCGACCATAGAGCAGACAACAGCCGAAGGCCACCAATGGGTCTTCAATGCAGCGAAAAACTCCCGCATTTGTTGTTTTTGTTATCTTTTATACCCTTATTGTTGCATGGGTGCTTTTCTTGTGTACTGATTTTCTTGTACTATCATTTCGTTATTTAATGTACCGCGTCACTATATATAGTTGTCTTTTATCATAATTAGCTTAACATATATTATAGACACCAGGTCCTGTTTGTTGATGAAAACCGTATTATGTTGAACTCTTAGATGTTTTTATGGGGTTTTTTTCAAGCCTGCGACATTTTGTCGTGGAAGCGCGGCATGGCGATCCTACATTCCGCCGGCGTCATCGTCGTCGTTTTATTTAGGTTGTCAAACCTTCATTGAATTTTATCAGTCTTGGACAGAGGCTGTCTCATGATCAGAGCAAAATTTTAGAAATACTATTTATTTTCATTTTACCGTAATGAATAACAGTTAACATTAACATACAGTTTAAGGTTTAAGCTTTTCAGCCATCAATATCTTTGTCATACCTGGAGGTTTAAGAAGCCTTTATTTGATCAAGACAGTATCCAGATAAAAAAATTGAAAATATGTTTTGTCATTTTTCAGTACTTTACTGATAAATGGACGTATATTTTTTTGCCGTTAATATTTAGATACAGGAGGGTCTTGCTAGGGTCCTTCATTTCTGGATTCGTTTTAGACCGTTTTTCTCTATTTTTATATATTGACCATTATCATCTCATTATCACATCATTTACCGCTATTCTGTATTTTAAGGCCTATTTTTCTCTATTATTGTTTTTTTGTTGTATTGCTCCATTATTCTCTACTCTGAAAACCCCGTTGAGACCCTCATACAGTCTGTGGTTAAAGTTTTGTAGTCATCAATAACTTTGTTAATCCTTCATAGATTTGTTTAAAACTTTGTCTGATGCCTTTTTTTATAATTAAGAAATAATATCTGATGCAATTTGAAAAAAAAATCTTCATTTTTCAGTATTTTACTGATAGTTGAACTTTTTTGGCAGTTACCATTTACATACAGGCTGGTAGTAATTTTTTTATTTAAGTCATCAACTGAATTTTGTTAAACTTCCATGTAATGTTATGAAACTTTGACAGAAACTTCTTCAAGATGACGAAATGGCATCTGAAGTAAAAAGTTAGATCTTTTTATATTTATGTCCGTGTTTTACGGATAAAAAGACTGAGTTTTTGGCAGGCAACCTTACACTTTTATACTGACAGCAGCAATCGCGGAACCATTTTCAACATTTTTTAAATTTTTTGTATTGCTTTCTCATTGACATAACCCCCCCCCCCCCCCCCTTTCGTTTATTTATATGGATGTATCACAAAATTCAATTAGTAATTGAATCAAATGTGTGTGTGTCTGGTAGGTAAACCTGATTTCACAGCTCTATAAATCTGTAAGGGATGCACTAAATCGTGTCTCTAATAAAAAAAAAATATACTTACATGTGCTACGGCAATGTCCCAGCCTGAAAGAAATGGAAAAAATACAAAACCATGACTATGTTTGTGCCGGACGTTATTATCCTAGCTATTATCACTTAGACAAGTCATTTCAATATTTTATGTTCAGATTATTCTATATTCTGTAAACCTCATCCAGACCCACTTACAGTCTCTGATTAAAGTTTTTTAGTCATCAATAACTTAGTTAAACCTTCATAGATTTTCATTTAACTTTAACAGAAGCTTTTTCATTGATTAAAAATAATATATGATGCAGTTTTAAAATATTGATGTTCAGAAACAAGTCTCATACATTTTCCCATTTTTGCGCCTGTCCCAAGTCAGGAACCTCTGGCCTTTGTTAGTCTTGTAAATTTTTTTTTTAATTTTGGTCCATTTATATGTTTTGGAGTTTAGTGTGACGTCCATTTTCGCTGAACTAGTATACATTATTGTTTAGGTGCCAGATGAAGTCTGCCTCCGGGTGCGGAATTTTCTCGCTGTGTTAAAGACCCCTGATTGGTGGCCTTGTGCTGTTTTCTGCTCTTTGGTCGGATTGTTGTCTCTTTGACGCATTCCCCGTTCCATTCTCAATCTTATGTACATTTAATCTTCTTAATAATCTGGAGAATTCCAGGCGGAATATGGAAATTACTACTGTCAAAGGATTAATGGAACTATCATATATTTGGTTTTTAGTGGATAGTTGTCATATTGACATTCATACCACTTCTCCTCGTTTGGTGTTCACGTCCAACAACAAGTATAACATGCATATCAGACTGAGAACCTATCAATAAGACACGTAAAAGAACACATATGCAACTATTCCAGTCATAATTACGTTCGATAACTCTGCATGTTACAGGTTTAATTAGGATTATGTAAAATTTACTAGTTACCCGATGAATGGTTTAAAGAAAATTGAAAAATATAGTTATTTCACCTTGGTTAATATCCATTCGAGGTCTTCTTTTATAAATATAAAATAATATCGTAATGAATTTCATTGAGAATCTGACAACACTAATCAACATAGGTATTGTCAAAACATACATCTAGATAGGTATTGTCAAAACTTACATCGTGATTAGGTGCCATGTTTGTTTTCTTTGATCACGTTGATGTTATGACTTAATATCTCCTTAGTCTAGCTATGTCCTTGGCTATCATTATAGTGACAATAACGTGTCATATTTAATTGCAATATAAACAGTGAAATTCAATTGAATTATTTGCATGGACAAAATAAGTGTCGAACATCGTCTACGTTTGAAAATTATTTGGTCGCCATTTTTTAAAATTTTTATAAAAAAACAACAGTATGTATCAGCTTTATCAAAAGGAACCAATGTTTGATTCTATGCTGCTTTAAGGTAAGACAATGACTGAAAACGCGAGCATCCAACAGTTATTTGATTTTCATTGTAACAATCTTACAAAATATATTTTTACCAAGTCGGCCCACGCTGTCAATGTGGTCGCCATCTTGAAAAATAATACCCGATTTTCTGAAAATAGCTAATTTTCAAATCAATTTGGAAGGGACGTAATAAAAAATTAAACTATTGCATGTACGATATTTCAAATATTTATGAATATAGTAATAAGCACATATTTCCACAATTTTTCCATCTGTTTTGTTTAAATCGCAATTTTAGGTTTAACACGACAGAAAATCCAATATTTATCGGAGTTGGATGATTTAACAGTGTGAATTATCGAGGCAACAAGACAAATTTTCAAAAGCATTTGGAAGGGAGAAGACCAAAATTTAAACTTTTCCAAAAGGCATAAATATATTTCTAAACATATGAGGAATTACTATATATTTCCACACTTTTTTTATCATGAACTTAAAGTAATTTATTTTATCGATTCCTGAAAGCCCCTGTGCATTTCTATACATTTTACTTGGGCATGGTACGGGTGATGTGTGACGTCGCCAATGTCACGTGATGACTGCTATAGTTGGATATGTTGCTTTGTACTAGACCGGCACGATGAGTCGGGGTTTTTAACATGCTGGTTCGGGTGACAATCCACAGGAAAACGTAACGTCACCATACGGATACATTATTCTAACTCCGGGAACGCAGCATATACCATTGTTTCTTTTAGTCACGGGTGAACCCACGACCACCGAATCGGTTATATTCGTAGAGACAAGCAAAGTGTATATTACATAGTCGTTACTATCCCGTATGGTATCGACGTTATAGCAAACTAATCTTCAACTCAACTGTAACAGGGGAGATAATTTGTCCTTTACAAAGTACTTACTTCTGAAATAGAAGCTTACCTCTAATCACTTGTCCAACTCCAAGTGTAAATGTAAATGGCTCTGCTCGTTCCAAGGAGGAATCAAATTGTTGACCATTTGAATACAATTTACCTGTAATAAGACATACAAGAGAATCTTTAAAAGAAGTAAATCGGTTTCTCTGGATCACAAATACGTTGAAGTGGAAAAGCATTTATTTAGCATCAGTATCTTGAAGATAGCAAACCATACTGTTGTCTAAATATTGGTGGTACAAAATGTCTTTTGGAATAGATAGTGAATTCGCATTTTGTAAAAATTTTCAATCTAAAAATTTGAAACAGAATAGCATTTCTGCACGAAATCTTGACCAAAGTTAATTTCAGAATGATCTAATGAATTCCAGGACAATGTGACGGGTTGGAAGATTCGTGGTCATAGAAGAACTTATTTCAATTAAGGATCCCGGAGATCATAAACATAACATCAAATTAAATGTTAAGTACACACAATAACGGATTTTTTCCTGCTTTACTGTCTTTTTTTTTCATTTTGATTAATGTAATTTTGTTATCACAATGTATCATTCTCTTTAAAAATAAGGAGATGTGTTATGATTGCCAATGAGACAACCATCCACCCAAGTTCAAATGAAGTGGATGTAAGCAATTATAGGCAACCGTACGGCCTTCAACAATGAGAAAACCGGCTTTAAAAGGCCCTGACATGAAAAATATGAAACAATTCAATTGAGAAAACTAACGGCCTAATTTATAACAAAACAATTTACGAAAAACAAATATGACAGACATGAACCAACGACAACCACTGAACTACAGGCTCCTGACTTGGGACATGCACATAAAGAATGTGGCGGGATAAACATGTTTGTGAGCGCTCAACCCTCCCCTAACCTGGGACAGTTGTGTAACAGCACAACATAAGAACAAACTATAAAAATCAGTTGATAGCTCTACTCATCAGATCGATGCAAAGCAGAAAAACATCAAACAAAAACAAAAACACAGACCGGACGTGGCAGGGTATTAATCCATCCCTCATCCCTAACAACAAAAAAGACACTAAGTACAGATCTCAGAGTACTCGCAGTTACTGACAGCTAGTTCAAAGCCAGTAACAACTAATAAAAAATTATGTATCTTAGACTAAAAAAGTAATTAGTACACATCCAACATCCAATGGATTTAGTTGTGCAATGCTAAAATATAGGTATCGACAGATTGTAGTACCGTGAAAGTACGTATGTGTATAACAATAATATTTAGTATGGTTTTAATTTACTGATAACAAAATCAATATTTATACCAATGAAAACAATATTCAAAGATTTAATTACAGTGTTGAATTGGTAACCTTTCAGAATAAATTTATTTAAAGTATCGATAAGTTTACCCGGATCGTATCTAAATTCCCGGGCTCGGTTAACAACATCACCGTAAAATTTAGGATATGCTATTCCGTTTGAAATAAGTTTACTGCTATTCCGTTTGAAATAAGTTTAATACAAGTACAGCCAAACTTGAAAACAAAATCTCTTTATCTATGGAAGAGTTTAGTAAAGGTTTTAAGTAATTTATGGTAACGAAATCCCTGACTTAATAATTTACTAGTAATATATAGATTACGCTCATTGAAATCCAAAACGTCACTACAGACACGGGCATAGCGAGCGAGCTGGGATATATAAACACCGTAAGACGGTGCCAGAGGAACATCACCTTCCAAAAAAGGAAAATTAACAATAGGGAAAGAAAAATCATCCCTTTTGTCATAAATCTTTGTGTGGAGTTTCTGGTGTAAAACTGAAATGTCTAAATCTAGGAAAGGACACTTATTGCTGTTAATATTTGATTTATTTAAGGTAAGTTCCTTTGGGTAAATTTCGGAAGTATATTTAGAAAATTCTTGATTATTTAACGAAAAAGATATCATCAAGATAACAGTACGTGTTGTTGAATTTATCAATTAAATGGAATTTAGACGGGTCTTTACTGAGTTTGGCCATAACCTCTGATTCATAACAGTACAGGAACAAGTCTGCTATTGAAGGGGCACAATTGGTGCCCATAGGAATACCTACAATCTGTCGATAAACTTGATTGCCGAAACGTACATAAATGTTGTTAAGAAGAAAATTTATGGCTTTAATCATCTCACCACACCTCTAGTAAGTATATCTAGCATATTTACCTTTCTCATTTGGGAAAAAGACTTGAGTTACAGCAAATGAATTTGCAATCAGATTTATCAAACGACCATTTAATTTAATAGGAAAACTTTTGTTTGTTAAGAACGTGTGGAAGTGTAGTACAAAGAGTGGAAAAGTCAAAACAGTCAACCGAATCAAAGGACTATCAAAAGCACGTAATTTATCTAAAACATCCAAAAGAAATTTTACACTCCAAAAATATAGTTAATTCCACTATTTTCATATGTTTTATTACAAAAATTAAGGATAAATTCTTCGATAGTAGTTGAGGAACTCGTTATAAGCACGGACATATTAGTAGTAGAGTACTTACTAGAGGCCGAGACGAAACGATATTTTACGGTTTTTTTTGTGTAGTTTAGGTAACCAATACATAGTGGGGATCTTCAAATTTGCATAGGAGGCCTTAAGCTAAGCTGTGGTAGTGACATGACTATTTACTATATGACTCTCTGTGGAGCGTACGGCCTTGAATGTAGTTGAATGTATAATTTCATTCTTGAGGACTTTCGTATAGTATTTACATCATACTACCACCTCAGTGTTGGCTGCTTTGTCGGCCGGTACGAACACAAAACGTTTTGCGAGTACTTGAATTTTGTTTTTAATCTTAGAAATGGGCGTATTACTTATTCTTTTGTTTATTTCTAAATTATTTTCGAAATGTGATATGCGAATATCAACAATATTCAGACATTTGTCATTTGTTTAAATAGGAATCAAGTGACTCTTTGTCAGATTTCTCCCGTTTACACCAATTTTTACAACAGGATGAAAGAGCATCTTTAATAATCGGACGCCACTCTTCCCAATTTATTTTCGACAGTGGACGATATTTTGGTCCTTTTCTCAGAAAGTTTATAACCTCTCGGTCTTGAACGATGTTGAGGTCCCCTGTATAATTACATAGCCATAGGGATCATATCTAAACTTCGATGTTTCACAGTCTCATATCGAAGGAGCATTATTTTCTATACTGACGTCTGATGTAACTGACGTATAATTAAAAAATTAACTTCTACTGGGTTTTTTTTATACGAATAAGAAATTATAGGTGGCTCTATGATATCAAAATATGGAGGTACATGTATAAAAAGACATCGCTTGATCTTCAATACGTATAAACATTGAAATATAGTGACAATATGTTTTGATCTTTTATCCATGTGCAGTTCTGCAGTTGGTATTCTGTCTGGCTAAATGTAGGAGATGTTTGATTTTATTTCTCTAACAATTTGTTTTTTCCATGTGTTAAAGAAGAGGAAACAGTTATTTACCAAAATGGTTTAAAACTAGGACACAATCGGTGAATACTGAGCAGACGACTATTCTGGTGTTGATGTACGACCGCGAAAACAAAAACCTTTTGTTCTAAAGGGTTTTTTTTTGTTTTTGTTTTTTTGTCTTGTAAAATCTGTAATCGTTTCACTATAATGTGATTGTCAGAAGCGGGCATCTTAATACACTTTTATCAATGAAAGTACATCTTAACATGTAACAATGTTGTACTCGCTGTCATAAATCACTTTGTATGTCGATCTGTTATAAAACACATATATAACAAACAAGCATAACAATTAACATGTTTTTCTACGTATTTGACAACTCGTTAAGATGGATTTTTGTGGTTTTGAACAAAAGTTTCCCGTCAAATTACCGTGTAACAATGCTATCATCACAAGATTATAATGCTTTCATAAAATTAATGGGTTATTTTAATATTTTTGCAAATAAGCAAATATCTATAAGAAACTGTCTAAATCGATATATAAATGTGTGTGTTTAAGAACCTTTTCAAACACTTGTAGATCGTTTTATTCTCGAAATTAAGATGTGTTTTTCATCTTATTTCAAAAATAGATTTCAAGTCTTTCCGTGTTTTAGACTGCTTTTTGATTTTTTCTTCTTGTTTTCTCTCTTCGTCATGTATCATAGAAAATAGCAGTATAAAATGTCTTCCTAGTGGAGAAAATGTTTAAATCTTGATAATGGACATGATATTTTTTTATTTATTGCCAACACTTATGATTCGTAACATAGTGGTCAATTCTATACAATCTGAATAATTACAGTTTATTTTACGTATTGACATTTTTATCCTAAATATTGACAGCTTTATACAGTTTACCGGTAAACGATTGTGTATTGGTATACAAAAACAATTGTTTTAAGAAATGAATGAAATTATTCACACTATGTCTGGACGCTCTCTTTCTATTTCCTTGAACATGTAAACATCTTAATTTTCATGAAATATAGACATCATTCATATATGAAGAAAATGAGACAGCTACTTCATAATGCTCAAAAAAGACATTTCCGAGCTCAGCAAACACATTTCCAATGTTTAAAAGCGGGTGCGTCAAGGCTGTTCGTTATTACATATTTTTTTTTAATTTAAACATACAACGGTAATATAGTGACATAAATTGTCTTACCCGTATAGTGAACTGTTACGTTCTGGCCCATACTTGGAAAGGTTTTACCTAAAAGTATATATAATTCACATTACAAACCTTGATTTATGCCTATTTAAAATTGCTTAATTCACAAAAGTTGTCCGTGGGATTTTCACTTTTCTTATATGTCGTAGTTTATATAATCATAATTTATACATAAATATAATTTTCCTCATTTTAGTAATAAATGTTGATGCCATATGGGCAAATTCATTTAAAACTACATACATTTAACTTTGTTCGCTAAATTTGTTCACAAAATAACGAACAGTTTTTATTTTGTAAGCTATGTTGTAGTTGACGATAAAATTTTCATTTATCTTTAAAAAAAATCCAAAGTAGACATGACATATTTAAAATAATATTCTAAAGGATTTTCTTACAATTTGTTTATTTTGAATATAGCAGACCACATACCATCTCCAGGTTTTATTGGCAGCATCCGTACACCAACACCCGATCCTTTTTGTGTAGTTTTAGGCTCTGCTTCTGTGTTTCCAGTTGCTGGTTGTTGTTGTGGCTGTGGCTGTGGCTGTGACTGTGTTTGCTGATTCCATACCGATGTTTTAGCTGCAGGCTGTGTGTTAGCTGCAGGTGGAGCAGCTCCCCACTGTTGTGGACCTGTCTGCTGAGCAGGCTGGTTCCAGGTTTGTTGTGCAGGCTGTACAGGTTGTGCTTGTACTTGTTGTGGGGCTGGAGCAGGGTTCTGCCATGAAGGCTGTGCGTTTGCGTTAGACGGTGGATTCCATACTTGTTGCAGTGCTGGTACGATGCAAATGGCAAAGACAAACAAGAGAAGATGTCCTGTCGCCATGTTAGTTTCTATGATATTGAATGACTACGGAAAATTATTTAATGTTTTTTGTCATCAATCACGGGAACGATTCGTCACTGAATCGAGTAATTGTCTTTTGAAATCACAGTTAGAACAACATGCCTTTGGGTCTTATATATCAATCATTGTAGTGTGAATGTGACGTTGTTACACGCGTTCATATTTGTATTAGATGAAAATATTCTATTATTTTATCCTAACATAAACATACCATGTTAACTGTATTTTTATGATTCTTTTTAATATTTTGCTCATATATAATGATTACTCCCACATTGACAACACCCCCGCAGTTGTCTGTTTCTTTTTTACTTGTATTTAATAAAATAAAGAAATACACGTCTTACATCTTGAGGTCTCATCTAAACATTTGAAGGTCCCTACTATGTATAAGCTCCGTAATTTAAACTACACAAAAAATCCTTCAATTGTCAAATCATATCGGCTTTTAGCAAGTGTCGTGATACTATAATTTTGTCCAATTAACTAGTTCACAGACTAAAATTAAGGAAGTGTAAAAAAATTTCTGAGGATGTTTTAAAAAATTGCGTGCTCTTAATCGTGTGATCGTGTGATTAATAATGTGATTGACAGTTATGACTTTTCGACTCTCCACACTTCACTTCCACACAATCTTATCAAACGGATGGTTTTTTTTTATTTAATCAAATGGTCCGTCAAAAAATCTTACTGCAAATTTATTTGCGGCAACTCAAACTAAACTAATATTAAACGACGTATTGAAGTATTCCTAATGGCACCAATTGCACCCTTTGATAGCAGACTTATTAGTGTCTTATTTTGAATCACATCTTACGGCTAAATTTGGAGAGTTAAACGACATACATATGTTACACAAGACATAAAGACATAAACATATAAAACAGAAAGCACATCATGCATAGCATAGTATTAAGTCCAGGATTTCGTTAACTCAAGTTACACCCTTATTAAATTCTTTCATAGATACAAAGATTTGGTTCGAAAGTTTGACTGTACCTGTGGAAACCTGATAACAACACATCCTAATTTTTACCTTAATGTTGTGTATAGGCGGCACGGAAACGATCCACGTTTATGCATATTTTTAAAGGTTATCGTTTTAATTCATTAAATATTGTCTTTATCGATACTAGAATTGATTTTATCTATCAATAGGTTAATGCATAACCAAACGTGTATGTACTAAGTACTATCCGTTTATGAACACTTATGTTACTACATCCTGTCGATACTTATTATTTTGGCATTGCACAATGTCACGCTTTTCTCATAGTGCTTATGACATGTCATCTTTACAATAAAACCGTTCGATGTGTACTGATTTATATTTTAGTATGGGAAAACATGGTGTTGTGAAACTGGGTTTTTACTAGCATTCAACAACTGCAACTACTGATAGATCGGTATTTTGTATCCTTTGTCTTTCTGTTGGCTGTTTTTGTACCGAGTATCGCCCTGACGAGTCGAGCCCTTTTCGGCCGATTTTTACAGTTTGCTGTTATGGTGTGCTGTTACGCCACTTTCTCAGATTAGAGTGAGGTGTTTGTTCTCTAAAACATATTTAACCCCGCCACTCCGGCTCTGGTGGATAGTTGTCTCATTTGCAATCATATTTAACATTTAATAATTGTGCAACATGGCTGAAATCGCCAAACGACTCTTTATAAGAGCTGCTGTCTTTAAATGACGATCTTCACCCGTTTTTTGCGTTTTTTTCTATAATTTTGAAAACTACAATACAAGAACGAAATTTTAAACAGCAAAAATGTCCAGCTAGACAAGATCTACAATGTTTGTCGCAATGCTTAATGTGTTCAATACTTAAATTATTTTAAGGTTACTGCTTTAGAATTTAGTGCTAACACATTACTGTGTAATGTATGCAAAATTTCTTTTGTGCTTCAAAATAACTGCTTATGCTTACATACTTAACTTTTAAATGCATGAATGTCTTAAAAATGTGTGTTTTGTTACACTAATGTATTTGTATGTCTTATATGTGCTTCTTATCTATTAAAAAATCTTAAGAGCTTATCTGTCCCAACTCGAAATAAAGCTTATTTATAAAAGGTATAGGGAGAGGGTTGAGATCTCACAAAGCATGTTTAAACCCGCCGCATTTTTGCGCCTGTCCCAAGGCAAGAGCCTCTGGCCTTTGTTAGTCTTGTATGTTTTTTTGGTTTTTTTTCATTTATATGTTTTGGACTTTAGTATGACGTACATTTTCACTGAAATAGTACACATTTTTATTTAGGGGCCAGCCGAGGCCGGCCTCCGGGTGCGGGATTTTCTCGCTGTGTTGAAGACCCATTGGTGGCCTTCGGCTGTTTTTTGCTCTTTGGTCGGGTTGTTGTCTCTTTGACATATTCCCCATTTCCATTCTCAATTTTATTGTATTGTATCGTACAAATAAGCTGAAACCGTCAGTCAACTCTTCATAAGAAATATTTGCCTTTTATATATTTATGCTTTGAGGTTTCTTTCGCCTTATTGTTTTCCGCTGGTTTTTGGTAAGAAATCAAATCAATCAATCAATTATCAATTAGTCATTCACCTTCATGAAATAGAGATCAATTTGGGCTTTTTACATCTATTCTATAAATTGTAACTGAATTGTGAACACGGAGTCTATTATGTGTACACTCAACAAGAAAGGATGTATCTGCATGCAATAATGTATTTTTTTTTCCAATTTAATCAGAAATTGAAATAGAATAAACGACGCTAATGGGTATCGCTGCTTGTCTCAGGACGCGTTTTAGTGCGTTTCGTGTTGTATTAAAGGGTCCGATAATCTTGATGCGTATCATAACCAAACTGGTTGGATAAATCCTATATATGCTTGTTTCCTGCAACCCTTTGGGTGGTGATGGAGGTTTCGCCTCATCAAGCTTAGTGTGGAGTTCGCTTTTTCACGATTTTTGTAATGTGAACGCTCAATTTCAGATCGTCTAGGTAAGGACTTAGTTGTACATGTTACAGGATGTGACTAGCTAATTTATAGATATCGGATGTAATATTGATGACGCTCATCAGATTTTTTTCGCATTAAATCTCATACCCTATTATATGACCAATCTCATACCCTATTATGTGACGAATCTCATACCCTATTATGTGACGAATCTCATACCCAATTATGTGACCAATCTCATACCCTATAATGTGACCAATCTCATACCCTATTATGTGACCAATCTCATACCTTATTATGTGACCAATCTCATACCCTATTACGTAACAATCCTACCCTACTATATGACAATCATACCCTATTATGTGACCAATCTCATACCCTATTATGTGACCAATCTCATACCCTATAATGTGACCAATCTCATACCCTATTATGTGACCAATCTCATACCCAATTATATGACCAATCTCATACCCTATTATGTGACCAATCTCATACCCTATTATGTGACCAATCTCATACCTTATTATGTGACCAATCTCATACCCTATTATGTGACCAATCTCATATCCTATTATTTAACCAATCTCATACCCTATTATGTGACCAATCTCATACCCTATTATATGACCAATCTCATACCCTATTATGTGACAATCTCATACCCTATTATGTGACAATCTCATACCCTATTAAGTGACCAATCTCATACCTTACTATGTGACCAATCTCATACCCTATTATGTGACCAATCTCATACCCTATTATTTGACCAATCTCATACCCTATTACATGACCAATCTCATACCCTATTACGTAACCAATCTCATACCCTATTATGTGACCAATCTCATACCTTATTATGTGACCAATCTCATACCCTATTACGTAACAATCCTACCCTACTATATGACAATCATACCCTATTATGTGACCAATCTCATACCCTATTATGTGACCAATCTCATACCCTATAATGTGACCAATCTCATACCCTATTATGTGACCAATCTCATACCCAATTATATGACCAATCTCATACCCTATTATGTGACCAATCTCATACCCTATTATGTGACCAATCTCATACCTTATTATGTGACCAATCTCATACCCTATTATGTGACCAATCTCATATCCTATTATTTAACCAATCTCATACCCTATTATGTGACCAATCTCATACCCTATTATATGACCAATCTCATACCCTATTATGTGACAATCTCATACCCTATTATGTGACAATCTCATACCCTATTAAGTGACCAATCTCATACCTTACTATGTGACCAATCTCATACCCTATTATGTGACCAATCTCATACCCTATTATTTGACCAATCTCATACCCTATTACATGACCAATCTCATACCCTATTACGTAACCAATCTCATACCCTATTATGTGACCAATCTCATACCCTATTATGTGACAATCTCATATCCTATTGCATGACCGTAATGGTAATGCACCAGTCGACAGGATAAGAATGTAGGACAGAAAGTCACAAGACAAAAAGTCACAGCAAAAAGTCACAGACAAAAGGTCACAGGACAAAAAGTCACAATTTCATTTTTGAGATTTTTTTTTTCTTTTTGCTTCAAATGCATGGTTAGAATTTAATAAATTTTCATTTTTCAAGGCTAATGAACAATTTCCTAAAGTGTGAAATGAATTTATGTAATAAAAAGAAAATATTTCAAGTTATTTCTCTTATATATTTAAACAATTGTCAACAAATTATTTGTGACTTTTTGTCCTGTGACGTTTTTTCCTATCAAATTTGTGACTTTTTGTCCTGTGACTTTCTGTCCATTTCCCCAGGATAAGCATGCAATAGCATCCACAAATATTGCAGTTGCACTAGTAGCCATTCTATGAGTTTATTAAATTTTTGAACTGGCCAAATGATGTTTGTAATCAAAAGTGGTCTGGCAACTCGTTCCATAATTTAGCAGCAGCATATCAAAATGATTTAAGCCCATACCTTGTTGTTTGTACTGAAGGAATTTCTGTAATGTTCTGGTACTTGTTGCTTTTATTGTATAAATCACCTGGGACCAATCAATATGAACCCAGCTAAAAGTGCCCAGGAAGACATGTCACCCTACCAGAACATATTATTCTGATTCCAGGCCGACCAGTCTTTGTTCTTACTCCAA